GATACGCGGATCCCAGGCGGGTAGGACCCCACGGTACCACTATTGTCTCATTCAAATTTTTCGTAGGACTCCCCAAGTATTATAGAAGCAGCGATTTCGATGAGAAGGAAATCGATTACAAGAATAGTCGATTTCGATGATCGGAGAACAAAATTACTTTGGACTATTCGTATAGTCAACAGCGGAAAAGATCACAGAGGTCGACGATCGTCGATGAGTTCAAGACAGCCTCCAATCCGCTCGCTGCGACCTCATGCATCGACGGCGCCCTCCGGCATCCAAAAGTGATTATTCATAGCTCACATTGAGCTGGACCGGCTCGACGAAGATTTCACTCCCCTTATCGAAGGCTGAGCGGCCCATCAAGGGCGCCGAAACATTTTTCCACTCGGATGTTGCTCCCTTGTTACACAACTTCAAATCGAAATAACTTTGTCGCAACCTCTACGCAGAGTCAACCCAATCTCCAGGGCCGACACAGGAGGCGGGGGGAAAACTCGTGTCTTGGATCATCATCCGGATCATCCGGCACAGTCGAGAATGGATTCACTTGTGGTCTGATGATAACTGTAGGCCTCTCCGATTCTAGCAAGCCCATGGGGAATCCATTGCCCTTGCTGTTCCTCGCGGCTCCTTCATTGAGAATCGCTTTCTGACTGGCGCGATTCCGTGTTTCTCCCCGTTAGCCCGGGCGATCTCATCCTTATCCCGTTCGAATTCATCGTGATTCCGTGTTTCTCCCCCTTATCCCGGGATATCTCATCGTTATCCCGTGGGAATTCATCGTGATTCCGTGTTTCTCCCCGTTATCCCGGGCGATCTCATCGTTATCCCGTTCGAATTCGTCGTGATTCGTCTTTCTCTCCGTTATCCTGGGCGATCTCATCGTTATCCCGTCTGATCTCGGTGTGATGCTATGTGGAACTTAGTGGCACTATGCCTCCCTTCTCCATTACACCAGGGGATGCTTCGTGATTTCGTGATACCGCGTAATCCCGTGTGATCCGACACGAAAAATTGTGGGAGGGACCGCCCGATCACTGTCAAATATTCAGCAAAGATCATTAGTCCCATCGTGTACCCTCCCCCATGGTGAGCTTCCCTTTTTGTGGAATTTTACGCCGCGTTTTTCTTGTACGCACCTCCCATAGACTCAACATACGTACAATTGTACGCTATCCTCAGCATACGTACAAGCGTACAAAAGTTCGCCGTACAAAGCGTGCAGGCGTACAAACCGAATATTTCATGTCTACTGTTGTATATGTTTTCCGACTGTTAAATTATTCGTTGCCGCTGCCGCTGCTCGGCTGAAAAGTGCTGTTTTTGTTCGTTTTCTTGTTCCGTTTTTGTCGTCGTGAGTTCGAGTTTTTCGCGTTTTGAACGAAGCTTGCGACATTAATCTTTTGAAGTACTATCGTCGTGAATCAGGAGCCCCGAGTCGGTCCTGCCTGCTACAGATACTGTTGGGAACAGTCGCTATCATTGCAGATAGTAGAGGAGAATGATCGTTTGATGTTTCGTCGTCGGGGTCATTCTTGCCACGGACTTATCTTCGAAGAATATCTGCACAGTGGTTTTGTGCTCGAAAATGAGAGTTCGGGAATGCAGAACGAATATACGGTGTGATTTGTAAAATTGTGCGACTCCGGGACAGCGTTCGGAGGAGCGAACAGAATATCGTCGACACCGGAAACAACCTCGCGATCACAACGATCAGCAACATCAATATTCGATGCGCGCTCTAGGACGACGGAGATCGGTGCTCTGAAGCGTTTTGTGAGCTCGGGTTGAGTGAGGCGAGCGAGTTCGAAGAATCGCTCAAATGAACACAAGTCTCGAAGCTCCCAGTGATTCACGATTCACAGCAGCGGCCGCCGCCATTCTTTGACTGAATCACTGCACCACCGATACCGATCTTGAAAAAAACTCTTGAGAGATACGTGTGAGATCATCACGGCAACGAGTTTCTCCATTCGAGTGCGCGAACCTACGGACCGGGTTTCGGAATCAGTGATCTTCGTCGATCAGGAAAGTCTTCCCGCGGATTCCAGAAAATAAACCGGATAATCTACAACAACGGCCCGAGCGTCGAGCTCAAAGTGTCGTGTTCACGAAATTGGCGAGCCCGTGAACAGCCATCGTCACCACCGTCACTTGAACAGTACAATAAGACGCGATTGCCAATCGCGCTGGTTTAGATCGTGGTTCAGTTGTTGCACTTCGGACACCTCGAACTACACTCGCGCGGCGCGGGACGACCTCACCGCACCAGCACGAGCACCACCGCCCCCGACCCGGGCGACAGTAAACGTCGTCAGCAGCTGCCGCAACAGGAGTTGCGAGCAGTCGCGAGCGAGAGCCTTCAGAGGAACGCGGCAACTCGTAACCGGAACGCTGGACTCCTCAACTAATAGCCCGGTAAGATCTCGTTTCAACGATATAATCTCTGGGGGCGGGGCGCGGGATGACGTAGGTAGAGGGATCGGCATCAAATGCTGCGCTCCCAAAAATCAATAATGGCTCGATACGAAAAGGTCTGCTTGGGGTCCTCGTCCGTAGTTTCTCGTAATGGCAGCGCGGCGGCAGAAGAGGACTCGAGGAGAGCCAGATTGATCCTGACGCGTAGGACCTCCGACGGATAGGGTGAGGGCAGAGGCATCGACGAGGTCCGTAGAGATCCCTATCGAGGGAAGGAGCGAGCGCGGGAGGGAGGGAAGCAGGATACAGGGAGGCAGGCAACCGAGGAGGCTCCCGATGGGGAAAAGAAGGAGAGGGTAGCCAGCCAAGGGTGGGCGGATATTCGGCCGCACGGCCAGCCAGCGAGCTGCCTGACGGGTCTCGGGATTGACTGAGTCCGAGTAAAAGCATCGGTCCGTGTGGCGCAAGTAAGCAACCAACGCAAAAGGAGGAGAATGAGGGCGGCTGTGAGGCAGGCATAAGGGGTTAGAGCCAGTGGTTTCGGTTTTTGCGCTGGTTCATTGTACACCGCTGCTGCTGCCGCTGCTGTTGCTGCTACGATCGCCGCCACTGTCGTCGTTGTTGACGTCGCTACTCCCTCCATTCTCCGACAGTTGCACAATTAGCAACTGTAAACGACGATCAGCCGCGACGGAACTCTAAATCGGTTACGGCGACGCTCACCGCGAGCGGGAGCTCATCCGCGCGGAGCGAAGGACAATATTCCCCTGCGTTTGATTGAGCGGAGCTCGCTCCGTCTGTCGCTTCGTCCGTCTGTTGAGCGGTGCCTGTAGACTGCTGTCAGTTTGAACTCGATCGCCGAAATTTCGGTAAGCTGGTGACGTCTCGACGAAGAGTGAACCGCGGCCACGGAATTCTCAATCCGAGTGGCCCCTCTCTGCGCCGTCGCTGCTTCTAGTCCCGTTATTGCTGTTTCTGTTTTTGCTGCTGCTGCTGCCGCCGCCGCCGTCGTTGTCGTCGTAGTGGGCTGAGAGCGAAAATTGAACGAATCACGTCAGATAGCAGAAGCCGTTACCGTCACCAGAGCGAGCGAGCGAGCCTGCACTCTACCCTGAGGGAGCTCTCGACGATTGGCGGATCGTGGCGGCAGCGGAACCGGGAACGACACATAAACAAGAGCCGATCCGACAACGACAGCAACAACAACCCGACGACGTCGTCGACTAGTTCTACCACTTCCGAGCGACGAGTGCTCTCACTGTGCTCGGTGGAACTGTAGTGGAAAATCGTGCCGCCGCCGCTACTGCTGCTATTGTCGCCGCTGCTTGTGCCGACGCATGACTCAGAAGGAATCGTCCATACCCAAAACCTCTCAGTGGTAATCGACGAGCGCCGATAGAGGCGCGCGTTTTCATCGCTCCGAGTTAATAAGTGCACCTCGTCGCGGCTGCCGCCTGGTAAACATGTGGAGTCCTTCTGACGCAGCAGCGCCGAAAGAGTCCTCGGTCAACGGAGCAACTCATATCGACTCCCAGGTAGGAACTCCATCATGAGCTACTCGGCGAGGGAATAGCATTCGCTCCATAGACTGCCAACCTCCGGTCGGTCGAAGCTCGCTCGCTCATCTTTCCGTTCGTCTGCCGGGCCGCTTGGAATTTTCCTGCTCTCCCAAGGTTTCTACTAGAAACGCGAAATCAGCGGAACACGAGCTAGATAGTGGTTGTCATCGTTACGACGATCACGACTATCATTCATTGTCGGTCGGTTGCGTAGAATGGATTCGTAGCCGGCACCAGTGAATGACGTGAATTGTCTCGGATACACGACGAGGGCGATCGTTTTTCGCTGCCGGAGGGCATTCTCGAATGCTTCTGCTGGACCAACACGAGAGGGATCGTTTGTCGATCCGCAGTGAAATCCTTGATGGCCAAGTGCCCGAGGTGTTGATTCTGGCGACGATTAGCAGTCCGTATAATGGTGTATTCCGCCCGATGGAAATAATTTACCGCGAGTTTTCGGTGGCCATTTGAGCTTGTTCGTACTGCAAGCCTGAAGAAAGGCCGCCACTCGACTCTCTTAGCATGTGTCGTTCCGTGTTTTTGCGTTGATAATAATAGTCGATACGACGGCGGTGGCATCGTCGACGACGACGCTCATGATTATAGGCTAATTTTTCCAATGAGCTCCGGGAGAGCGACCGGGGGAGTTGTTCAACACGTGAATAGCGAACGCCAATCCCTCCGTATCCGCTGTTGGAGACAACGAGAGGCGGACGGGAGACTCTTCCGGGAGGGTTTCCAGCTCGTATTCAGGCGATTGTCTGGCTCATCTGACCACGGAAGTCGGTAATCGGAACTTCCAACGACTTATCGGCGGCGTCCATGGGTTCTCGATTTCGATCATCGTCGTCTGGGGTCTCGAGATCAGGAATGATGGAGGCTTCCGCAGAAGTCACGCGGCCAGCCATGAAGACGGTCATCGGATGACGTTCAAGACCGTATAATTCATCGGGCGCAATCATTCTCTAGATTCGATCAATCAGCTGCTATAATTTGAGTACGTTTCCCTTTCAGTATGGACGGTCCCCGTCCCCATACTTCGAGAAGCTGGACTGCGATACGAATTCGGGGAGTTCGATGAGCTCTGCCATAAATTCCCTCTTCAGTTTTACGTCACCCGCTGTCAAGAAGCTGCTAGGATGGAAGCAGGGAGACGAGGAGGAGAAATGGTAAGCATTCGAATCGATCGCATACTCGATACGATTCCGAATCAGAAGAACCTGTCTTGCGCTCAGGGCAATCGAGTCCAGAGCTTATTATGCTCGACGGGATCGTATACCTAATATAGAACTACAATCTGTCGTCATCGAGATAAGCGACCGTAGATCAAGGATACGGCCGAAGCATTGCTTCGCATGCTCTCGTTTTCGTCAAAATCGCGACCATCCTGAATTCCCTCCCAATCTTCGACTCGCTCGTCGAGAATCGGAATGAAAGGGTGATTTTTTCCTGCAGGGCTGAAAAGGCTGTGGACTCGTTGGTCAAGAAGCTCAAAAAACGGAAAGGTGCAATCGAAGACTTGGAAAAAGCCTTGTCTTGTCCGGGTCAGCCTTCAAAATGCGTCACCATACCGAGGTCTTTGGATGGACGTTTGCAAGTTTCGCATCGCAAGGGCTTGCCTCATGTAATCTATTGTCGGGTTTGGAGGTGGCCTGATTTACAGTCTCACCATGAGCTCAAACCGATCGAGCTCTGTCAATTCCCGTTCAGTGCCAAGCAGAAGGATGTCTGCATCAACCCTTATCACTATAGGTTGGTATCGGATTCTGAGAATAAATTGCTGGCTCAAAGCTCTCCCTTCGGCATCTGGTCGCTCCCCACGAGGAGCCGGCAAGGGGATTTCCAACACTTATCGTGTGACGCGCATCGTTTCAGACGGGTTGAATCACCAGTGCTACCACCGGTTCTGGTCCCCCGGTACTCCGAATACCCACCTGGCCACAACGGACCGGTTGGAATGCCGCCCGTGCCGCCCCCGGTTCCCTTCCGGCCCGTGCCAGAACCCACAATGCCACACAATGTAGCATTCACACCTCAAGGATTCATCCAACAATCGCCTCATAACCAGACCATACCCTCGCCTAATACCCTGTCTCCCTCGTCGCTGCCTCCATCTTCACCGCATTCGATGGGGATCGCTGAGACGCCCCCGCCGGCATATTCTCCGAGAGCCCCTTTTTCGGAAACCGACCATCAAAATAACAATAATTCGAACAACAACAATAATAGCAGCAACAGCAGTAGTCTCAATCTCAACACCAACAATAACAGCAGCAGCAGCAGCAACAACAACAGTCAAGACCACAACTCGAACAGTCCGCAGCAGATGGACATTTCCGTACCGAGCCAGCCTGCTCCAGCAGAGATGCATGCCGTCGACTACCAGGAGCCTCAATACTGGTGTACGATAGCCTACTACGAGTTGAACTCGAGGGTGGGTGAAGTTTTCAGAGCCCAAAACCACAATATAGTCATCGACGGCTTCACTGATCCTTCGGAAAATTCGCCTCGTTTCTGTTTGGGTCTGCTGTCAAATGTCAATCGGAACTCAACGGTTGAGAACACTCGCCGGCACATTGGCAAGGGTGTGCGTCTCTACTATGTGGGAGGCGAAGTGTACGCTGAATGTCTCTCAGATTCAGCGATTTTTGTGCAATCGAGAAATTGCAATCATGCTCACGACTTCCATCCGACGACCGTCTGCAAAATTCCGCCGAATTGCTCTCTGAAAATATTCAACAATCATGAATTCGCCCAACTTCTGACTCAGGCCGTAAACCACGGATTCGAAGCGGTCTACGAGCTGACGAAGATGTGCACCATTCGGATGTCATTCGTCAAGGTGAGTTTGGCAGCTTTCTGGTATCACGCTCATTCGCGAGCTTCCTCCTCGCTTCCCTCAACGATGGACTTATTTTCTCCGTTCGGAGCGGAGCACCGGCGTGGTGCTACGTGGGAATGAACCGCCCCCAGCGGGATCGAAGATGATTCTCTCCAATTTTCGAACAGTAGGAAAATTCTCTCGCAATGGGAATGCTCGACTCCTTCGCCTTCACTCGGATACGTCATTACTCCGACACCCAACAGTTTTGAGCTCAATACTCGCTCCACATCATTGAGTGCGTCCGTACCTAACTTCTACATTTCTGCCTGCAGGGATGGGGCGCCGAATATCACCGCCAGGATGTGACGTCGACACCATGCTGGATCGAAATCCACCTTTCGGGACCGCTGCAATGGTTAGATCGTGTACTCACTCAGATGGGTACTCCGCGTGGAGTCATAACATCTGTATCATAGAAGCGATAGCATTGAGTATCAAAAAGGGTACTGTTAAGGGATCTACTCGCGCGCGGACGAACCCAAACCGATCGCACGGTGTATACTATGTAGTATCGAAATCGAAGGTGACCCCTGCATCCGAGTTCTGAGAATACCGCAAGTCTTTGGTGTGCGGATTCGTTTCCTCGACGCCAAACACACATTTATCCATCCGCATAAGCATACAGTCTAAGAGAGACTCTTGTCAGTCCGAGACGGTATTTACGTGAGTTACATGAGCAGAGAGAGGCAAGCTGATGAACAAGAAAACCAAACCGGGAGAAGCCTAGAGCTCTCATCGCGGGAAGAGTCTGTTCCATATTATATACACATGCATGCACATGATCGATGACTTCAAGTCGGGGGCTGCTTGTCGGCTCTGCCAGGACTAGCCTCGACATATGCAGCTATCGCGCTTATGTTTGCCGCTGCTGTCCTGGGAATTCGCGGGAGAAGTTCGTGTACGTCCGTTTCAAATCCGTCGTGTTTTGTCCTGGTCACTGGTTTTCTCGCCCTATTCATGATCTCCACATCCGGCGAACATCAGCAATCTCCTTAAATATCAGTTGGTCCATCGAAGCGCGTGCTCTAGATTTTGGTTCGCCCGCGTCCTCATCGATCAAAACCTTGTAGAAAATATTGCTCTATCGGACAACAGCGGCAATCACCTCGAAGCTATTGTGTTCGGAGGACCCACTAAGCTGCGAGCCCCGCACGGAAATTAGCGCATGACCATTACTATCTCCGAAATCATAATCATGATCAGCAGCACCTGATTAGGCTGGATCCGATGATTTTCGTTGATCGATCGGCGCCGTGAATCCGAGTTCAGTCTCAGGGTCGTCGGAGGTATCCGTTTCCAGTAAGATCCGCTTGCATTGCAACACCAAATCGCGTCACATATCTCCGCTGGATTCCTCGCGATTCTCCCTAGGATTGGGCTTGAGCGCCCAATGGCATTTCTTGATCGTCATGACTCATGACTCTATGATCGGAACCCTCTCTCGTTGGACGGAGGCCTTTCATTCGGAGTCTAAAGGTATAGCAGTCCGGTAGAATATTCGAAGTGCAATGTTCCTAGTTTCATAAATCAACGGCCTCAGGCGCGGAGCAGGCTTCAGCGGCGATTTGAGGCGATTTCATGCCGCCAAACACGATCCTCAGAGATAATGGATCATATTCAAAGTGCAGTTTTATCGGATCAGTTGGATTGATTTAAGTTATACATATTCACTGATACATTCGTTATATTTTATGATATATTTTCCCTTACACGACGCCCTCGATTGGGTGAGTTGGAGAGGAGTGAGAATTTTAGAGAAGAGAGTGGAGTGATTCGTTTCCCATTTTCGATCGATGTTAAGTCATAACCTTACAACACCCCCTCGCTCTCCCCGGGGGTGAATATATCTTGAATGGTAGTCTACGAGCAGGACATTTAGCTCACACGAAAAGGGAGAGTCGAGCTGATCAAACAGACGAACGGAGAATAGAGTGAACGCGCGAATTATGCTCGTTCTAATAGGTTCGAGTTCGTCGGGATGCATTGGCCATTGTTACGCTGATATATGATGATCGTAGCGGTCGATGTCAACCTCGTCGCTCCATGAGATCGGATGACCACTCTGGTATATTCTGTTATTGAGAAGACGGAGACTCTCGTCTAGTTCCTCTCCGATTGATAATTTTGCCCAAAAAGTTGTAGCTCGTTCACGTCTCAAAGCGTTTTAGCTATTACGAAGAGAATCGACTTCTCGATGACTATCCCATTTGTACCTTTGTTCATGTGCCATACAGAACGACTACGACAGATGATTTGTTCTCCTCAATTGAGCTGAACTGCATAAGGACTTCATTTATCTCGGAATGAATTGACAACCAAACCGAACGGATGACCGGATGCCGACCGTCTTCATTGTCGTCTATACGACTATGCGCTGATGCAGGAGGAACCGTTGGCGGAGTATCGATCAAGAATATATTTTGTTCTCATCGAAGGAAACAGAGGTGGATTGTGTCGGCGAATGGTGAGGTACGGATCGAAATTGTGAATCGAGAAGCTCCGGCTACGGAGTGTGTCGGTGGCTGAGCGTTTGGGGCGGATGTTGAAAGCTTTTGGTTGTGGTTACTGAGTCTTGAGAGAACCCTGTGATAGAGTGAACAAAAAACAGAATGAGTCTGGCTCAACATCATATATCTACGCAGAGACCTCATCCACTCGTCAATTTAGCGTCAACGGTTTCCTCTCGTCGCTTGTATCCCGGTCATCTGCAATCAGCCAAGGTGGTAGAGTATTTTGTTACTATTGTCGCCGATCGATCATAAACACACATTATATTAAAAAAACACACGAACACACTGTCGACGTTTATTTCGAGGAAATACAGACCAGCCCCATTAGATGAGTACTCGAGAGGGAGACAATATTGTCTGATAAGGAGATCTTGATGAGTATGGATACTGAAGATAGACAGGAGTCGATTAGAATATAGCAGCCCGGTAATAATAAACATCACGGTGCGGCGGTCCGAAATATTCTGATGCCGGAACCTCACTAGGTACCCGAGCCCGAGCTTGAAGCTGGATCGTGACCAGTCGGTGCAATGGAGGATGCTCTGCTCCTCGCCTAAATGTTAATGTGCTCGCTCGTGAAGAATGCGCCAAGCTGATCGCTCATTCGATGAAGCCTTTGATTCCCAAATCGTCACCGCTGGGCTGTACGAGATGAGATAATAAGCATAGGAGTTGTACGCCAGATCGCCATGCGCAAGTATCCTATTGGGAGAGCGAAAAATCGGTGTCGAAATCGACTAGGTATCGGCTTCTCAGCGAAATCAAAACCTGAAAACGCGCAAGCGCGACTGGAGTGATTCGTGTTGCTACATAGTCTATCGATATATTGCTCTACCAGCTGCACGAGCATCAGTAACATTGTGCCTATGCCTTGTGCCGCCACGCCATTCGGTCGCTTTCTGTTGGAGAAGAAAGTTTAATCAAATACGTCGACGGAGAATCGATGATGATCCACATGAAACTCAACGGTTGCCCAGAAGATGAACATGCGTCACTTATATATACATACATAATATGAATCATGAATAAATATTTGTCAGCCATTACATCATGGTTTATCAAGACCGAGTTTGTCTTCTCCGCAACCCCCATCACATGCGTCCATAGTTGGGAAGACATGCCTGGGCTCTCGGGTCTATCCTGGTTCTGAATTCAATGCAATAGACCCATGTTATCGGGGTAGGCTTTTGAGAATCATACCGCACCATGGACATGCTCGTTTCTTCCATCCGTTTCATCTATAGCCAAGGATGGGGATGGGGTCTTCGGAGTTCGTGCCTCTTCAGCGGACAGTTTTGAAGCAACTTCAGGACTTGACTTGGCGCTCTTCATTTTCTTCGAAGCTAGCAAGTTCGCACCTCTTCGACAGGAATATCTTGATTCGGTCCGCGCACGTGTGCTGTTCCCCTTCGAGATGGGCAACGAAAGACCGGGCCTCAGAAATCAGATTGGGAAGCCGGTCGTATCGCGGAGAGTACACGAAATGAGTAGCCCTTACACTGACTGAGTAATCAATCAGGTTTTTCCCGCAGATATCAGACCTACAATGCAACAAGAACGAGCTGCCGAATTCTCTGTCGTATCAGATCCTCTTGCGCTCGATAGTGGGTGATGTTCGTCTAATCTGATGAACAATCCTCGCCAAAATCGAGAAGTGGAACAGGGGCGGAGTTCGTTTTTCTGGTCGGAGCGAAGAGCCCTCGGCTTCATGTCAATAATTCAGAAGAGCGAGATCTGCGATGAATCCGTGGAAAAAAATCATATGTATTCCGGGGGCTGAGCAGGCGAACTCCTCGTTTGCCTCAGTGCCGAAGCATAATTGGGTTTCGGCGAACGTGGATAAAAATTAGCGAGAATCAATAGAATCAGCTCAAATTATCAATGACGGGGGAGTATCGATTGTTCCTCGAATATTCTCGCCCTGCTTGTGCCTACGTTCATGGCTACCGCTCTGAAGACTCAAACACGAAGCTCGACATAGTAGTGAGTTGTGAACGGAGACAGACGCGTGCACTGTAGAAGGCTCTTTCGCTCGAGGCCGGAGTCTGGACCGCACTGTGCGAAATAAAATGAACCGCACCGCGACTCTCCGAGCACTCGGCGCTCAAGAGCTCGAGATTTTCGAGCTTGATTCCCGTGTAGCATTCACCGGTGTGCTGAGCAGAGATTTGTGATCAACCCCTTCGGGGTTTTGGGAACTATCGACCTGAATCCGCGCCGAAACCTCCATCGTTTGTTGTCTCCGCGACCTGGGCTACGCACCTCATTTCTCGGCGATTCGCCAAAGCTTCACCGCCTGATGAGCGAAAGAAGCATTTCTACACAGATCACCCGAACAGAACTTGGACTTATCTGTGATGGGCGTTATCGATGCCCGCAGCTCCGCTGCGATTTGGTAGAAATCTCGGTCCAGGATCTCGGTATCTACGAATATCGTGGAGAAATAATTTCCGCCCGACTTTCTGATGAGGCTGATTTCCGTCGACGGAAGGAATCGGATGAATATCGATCATTCCACTTGGGTCCGCCAGATCCCGCCTTCGGAGCAAGAGAACGATTCCCGAAAAGAGATCGTGCTCCTCTTTCGTACACATTGCAGTGTGGGTTGATGATGATTGTGGGCCGCGGGAGAGTTTCTCGTCGTCCAGTAGACAGAAAGAGCTTCCCCGATTGCTAGAGGCGGCCGTCCCCCAGCTGAGAAGCAAGCACGTATTCCGGATTGCCGGAACTGGTCAAGAGAGCGGAGCGTGCCGAGTCCGATAAGCTTCTGGAATGAGATGAAAAATGAGGGCAGCGGAGGATGCTTGAGACAGCAATAATTAGAGCAAGCCTCGTGCACGCTGACTTCACTTAATTATTCCCAAATGAGGAGCTCTGCTCGTGCGATCCAATCTGCCGATCTGACAATAACTCTTCTGACGCACTTGGTAAGATGCGACGCAGTTCTTACGTTGTGACGCTACGGCGCATTGAGAGTCGCTCTTCCGACGTCACAGGGTTTTCCCAAGGTCGAAAGAGTGGCTGGCCGCCCGGCCAAGAATCGCACCGAAATCTATTTCGCTCACCTCACCCATTCAAGACTCTCGAAAAAAAAACACAGAGAGGCAGAGAGAATCTTATGTGGAATGCCCCCTTTGCGGAGATTCGGTGATGATGGGATCAGATTAGTCTCACCATGTATATCCTATCTCAAAGCCAATCCGACGGTATACCATGCTCTTTCTAGCCGATATGTTCCCATCGCATCAGAGCGGGGAAGGCCGCAGTGACGCCCGATCGCCTCCAGAGTCCGCATGATTACGTAGTGCTTCCCATCGTCTCCGGAGCAGGGTCTGGATCAACCACAATGACTTTCCCGTGGACCCAATTTCTCCGTGAAGATGTCGGTTGAAACGGTGGCAAGTTCTCTATGGGAGAGCTCCCGATTCCGATCTGAGAATGGATGGTATATAATGTCTTGTAAATACATAAGTGGGTCACAGATCGAGCACCCGACTATCCTCCTGCATGCGGGAACCCCGCACATTTTTTTCTACTGGAGATTATGCGGAGGAGAATAAGGTGAGAAAATCAAAGTCTTCATTGACGAAACGATCGAATTCCGGTAGGGGGGGGCTTCTGATCCTGAGGGTGGTGGTCTCCGTACAGATGGGCGGGCTCTCGAGAATGTTTATCCCGGTCCAGTTTTTTTCATAATTGTGAGCCCCGAGGTTTTTGTTTTTTCCAGTTGCAAGCCCAATAATGTAATTCTATCACGGAAAATTCGGTTTCTGCGTCGGATTTTTCGTCGATGCTGCCTATTCGGATCTTGAATTAATGATTGCTGACGGTATTGATGCTCACGGAATTGTTCTCAACAAAATTAGAGTACGAAATCATCCGAGGCTCTGCGATTATCCGAGCGGATCAGCGCCGAATATTATCTACGCTCGTGAAAATCGTCGAGGGAAGTCGCCTGGTATCTCTGACCAACTTTTGTTCTCCTCGCACCGATCCATTCTCTGCGAAGGGTTTTCCACTCCCGTAGCAAATTCGATGAAGGGGAACTCGACGTGGCTCGAACAAACTCGCCATTACGTTCAGGATTCTCTCATGGGCGTGAAAAAAGGAGAAAATTCTCAAGTTCAGAGGCCTAGCGATCAGGTCCCATCAGCTGATATTCGGAAGAATCTTGCGGCTGATGCACATGTTTTCCACGCTAAAACGTCATCGACGGAACTCCGCGCCGATCCGAGTCATCGGAGCGTCGCATCCACTCCGTATTTCCGGATGGAAACGGAGAAGAGATAATGGTTTTATCAGCGGCGGCCACCAGATACTGATCACTGGTTATCATCACAGCGACTGATGCGTGATTAGAATCTTGGCAAATAAGCCCAGGCGGATGATTGAGCCAGTTCAAGCCAATTTTCAGATCCCGATCGCGAGTAGAAGGTCACGTCGATAGAATGTAGCCGAGCCAGAATGGAGCCGCGCTCAAGACTGTAGCATTGAAGTCGTCGCCACGGCCCGCCTGAATACAGAAGTTTTGGACCACTCGATACAGTGAACGGGTCGGACTCGGCTGGGCGACCGTCTGTTCACAATAATTCGAGATCATAAACAATCGGAAGACTCGGGGCCGTCAAATGAGTTGCACGGAGTTCCAGGAATTGGTATCCTGAGACAAATACAAGCAACGAATGAGCAATCGGTAGATTAATTAAACATAATCAAGTACTGAGGTGAGGACGTGCTCTCTTGAGATAAGCTCCTCGATAGCATTTGCAAGATTGGTCTCATGTTCCCGCAACTGTTGTTCAAGCCGGGAGGATCCCGCGGCTCTGATTTCACTCGCTCACCCAGCCACCAACTCACTCGCTCATTTACTCACTCGCTCAATCTCGAGCACCGATTCTGTCTGTGCGTAGTCTTTACTCAGCAGCAGTCGCCGGTGGTTTCTTCGCTTCCTGTCTTCTAGGTTCAGAAGCATTGCATTTGCAGCCGTTTCTGTCGCTGCCGCCGTTGGGAGAGAAGGAAGAACAGCATCGTTGTTGCTGCTGCCAGCTGCGCCGACGACGACGACCAGCCGACATTGATCGTGCTGCCGTTCGTATATTGGTGTCGTTGTTCCAGTGATTCTAGTGTTGGTGTGGCTCCGGTGATCGCCTGCATGTTTCTCGGTCCTACGTTTTCAACGAGCAGCAGCTCTTATCGAGCCGAGTGAGGGAAGTCGGCGATCGACGGCGGAAATCGGCAGCTACCTCGTTCGGTGGCTCTCACTGGGTCGCTCGAGTGGTGGTCGTCCGCCGCTCGCCCGTCCTTCCGTCCGTCCATCCGTCAAGTCAGTGAGTGAGGTAGAACGTCTGCTACTGCACTGCTCGACTGTGATGTTGATAGTGGTCGAATTCTCGGAGTGAAGGAGGGCGCGCAGAAGAACCGCAGAGAAGATTCTAGCTCGGAGTTTCAACTCGAACACCTGGAGCTTTCCAGCGTTTGAAAGTTCACATCGTGTTCCTAAGAGAGACATTCTTTAGTGGAGCCCTTTACCGTGTCGACCGTTCCCGCTAAGCGACCAGACATTCGTTAACATTTGAGCGGTCAGCTGCGGAGAGGAATTCGAACAGCTGCAGCCATCGGTGGAATCTCATCTCTGAGTAGTCGGTTGACGACGAAATTATAAGACCGCGGGGTTTCTGTTCCGACGGTAATTCAGTTTCGATCGGGAGCCACGGTCCGCCAATCAGTAGTCGGCCCGTCAGTCAGTCGCTTGGTCGCTCGACAGTCATTCGAACCTGGGTGCTCGACTGTTGCCAATGGCTCCGACGAAAATCGCCAAAAGACCAGGGCTGACCCCATGGGATGAGATTCTTCCGAAAAAATTCGTGGAATTCGAGATTCGACGGCGCCTGAAGTCGATCAGGAAATGCATCTACGTCCCCAGTCTCAGCAGCATCGACGAGCTCGTTCCTACGACCAACTTTATGTCGGAACTCGGAAATATTGCGGAATTCATGTATTCCATGGGGAAGAGCGTTATGTCGAGAGACGAAGCAGAAAAAGTGACGGTGGCGACGCTCGACGGGAGGACTACCACCGATAAGCAGCGCAAAGCTCCGACGGGAGACGACAACACATCTGTGATGAGCTCGGACGACGAAGGAATTGTGGATACCCTGTCCTCAATGAGAAGACATCAACATCGAACTCTCGATACGCTAACAGTGTTGAGTCGCAGAAAACTGGCTTCGGTATCGTCGAGGACCGTTGCGGATGGCTTTCTCGCCGACCAAGAAGACAATGACGTCGACGACGACGACGAGAGCAGCGGATTCTACTCGGATGGTTCGGAGTACGCGCCGTGCATGCCGAACGTCAAGAGTCGCGCGTTCCGACCCCGAAGCCAGTCGGGACTCTATCTGCACTCGCAGCTCCCGATGTGGCTCAAGAACAATGAGTTCATCGTCGGTGGACACCGACCGCCAGCCTATAGTTACAAAGCCTGCCTCCGATCTGTGATTCACTTACATAGCGAAACGGGTAACATTTGGAGTCACGGACTGGGAGCTCTCGGTTTCGCGATGTACGCAATCTATTTCTTTTCGGCGGACGTGATCCCTCACATGAATATTTACGATCGTTTGGCATTTGGTGTTTTTTTTCTTTCCGCCATCGGCTGCATGGGTATGTCGGCTATTTATCACACGCTAGCGTGCCACTCCAACCGAGTGTGCTCCATAACGTGTAAGCTGGACTTCACCGGGATCACAATTCTGATCTTCGGATCGTTCTACCCGTGGTTGTACTATACGTTCTACGACCAGCCGGCGTTGCGGTGTCTCTACGGCCTTCTAGGGACTGTCAGCGCGTTAGCGACGATAAAAATGAATCTGAACGATAGCTTCGCTCATGCCGAGTATCGAGGCGTTAGGTCGGCCGTGTACATATCGTACGCAATGATTTGCGGCGTTCTACCCGTTGTTCATTTCTCGATGATCTACGGAGTGGAAACTCTCTACAACGAGCACCATCTTCTGCGGTTCGCGTGCATGGTAATCTCATATGTGGTTGGGGCGCTCTTCTACTCTATTCGTATTCCGGAAAAGTACTGGCCGGGAAAGTTCGACTACGCTGGACATAGTCATCAAATCATGCACATCTGTGTCGTTTTTGGAAATCTCGCCCACTACTGGGGCTGCCACGGCCTAGCCTACCGGCGGCACGTTTTGATGGCCACAGACTGCAGCCAAACCTCGATGTACTCAACACTGGAGCCCTTCATCAGCATGTCGTACGTCCATATCATGAATTTCTTCAACTGAACAGTGTGGTGTATCGGAGCGATGCGCACCACCCTAATCGGCAGCAACTCCAAACGACCACTCATGTAAGTTGAACTTGAAAATTTATTTAGACTCTTTTTGATTTGATACCGGCGAAATTTAGTGTCGAAAAATAGCGACGGAAAAATGATTGTGCAGCGCATACCATCGGTCGGCGATGAAGGGATATCGAGTCTCATTTTCTGAGACTGTGCCGCGGCGGAATCGTAATGAGTCTCGTCAGCAGAAATAACTCGCCCCGCGACCATCTCGACGCACTTCGAAGTGATCCTTGAGCTCAGACAGTTTTTGTAATGTTTGCTATTCGGTATCACTGCTTATAGAGCGCGATGGAGTTTTAAATTCCACGACGATCGTCCAGAAAATCCGAGATATTCCCCGTAAGTTACGCCGCTCAAGTCCCGATCTCGCGATCCATTACGCTTCCGCAATCGTCTCTCGGGGGGATCACGGCGCGTCATTTCGTAACATATGTAGAACATGCGTTCCCTACGCTCTAGGTGCCCGATTCCCTCCCAGCTTGGAAACGCCGACGTTTTCAGTTAAATCGGCAGCTGGCTCAAGCCTGTCTGTCGCTGAGCGAGTGCCCAATTTTTCTGAGCTCTGAATGATAGAATGTCCTTTCCTGCTATTTTCGAGCTCTTTGGGACAGGGTACGGCCAGCTGAATCATTATCGAAAGGGTTTGTTCCGATAGAGCGCTGGAGCTTCGATCCATGGTTCAATCTCCCTGACCTCAACTCTCGGGTCGGGGGGAATCGTCCTCGCTACGTGTGGGCTTCATCGCTCAACTTGCCAGACCGAGGAAAAAAATACGTCTGCGGAGCGGGTATACCGCCAGGGATAATTCGCTTGTTTCTGGTGAGCTCATCCCGACCATGATTTCCTTGAAGAGAAGCCACATAGCGAGTCAGAAGGATAATGTCAACGAGTGGCTCCTAGCATAATTTGATCGGCGACGGTGCTTACAAGGATACTCTGATCATGGGCCGCTCATGCGCTCGACTCTTTCCTCGTAGTTCTGGGAAGTTCCGCATAGCTCTCCCGGACGGGCTACTCCTGCGACTTCCATGAATGAAGATGAAAAATTTCGCCGTCTAGTAATCACGGATCTCGGCATGCTAATCGCGGACGCTAATCGCTTGGCTCCTTTTGCCGAAGAGGTGGAAACCACGATCACTGAAAAACCCATTACGTTCCCCGAGAGGCATCGGAGCGCACTTCGTAGCGTCTTTCGGCTCATCAGTGCTGAAGCTCTCTCGTTCTTCAGATTCCCTCAATGTCCGTCATCGATACAAGTCAAAATCAAAACGCGATCGGATGCCCGAACACGAGTTTTCCGACGAGTCAGGGGGAACAGCATTTGAATTCCGACGCCGCGCGCCGCCGCTCAAAGTTCCGCTAAAGACGATGTAGAAGCATCTGTAATCGAAAGAGAAAGAAGTTCCGAAAATAGGCTAAGTCTAACTTCTCCCTCTCGTCTTTGTTGCTTGCCGATGAAGAAACGTCAGCAATGCCGTGCCATGACTGGCCCCGATAGAGGCAGCGACGGAACTAGCGGCAGCAACAAGGACTTGCGGAGAGAAGTTGCCTCACAAGTTATATTCTGCCTCTTCAATGACGGCGCGAACATCGTGTGAGAGCGTTTTCCACATGGGACGGAAGCTCCGTCTAGCTCCTCCGGCTGTTTATGCAATAATTTGGTATCGTCGGCTCGATAACGGATACGGGGACGGATAATGGGACTTGAGTGCTAGCTGCCAATCATCATTCAGTGTTCGGACCGTTTGGAAGCTCGACGCATCTTCAGTGTCCGGAGCCGATCCGTTCAGGACTTGAGATTTTCGGGAGCTCGGAATCGACGGCTGCTCTTGACTCGCTCCCCCGGTCCTGAACATCGCGATGCTGGTTATCTCTGCGATTATTTGAACTGACTTCTTTGCGATGGGAAGTCGGTTCCTAGCCGGCTAGCAGATTCCATCCTCCCTCTGAATGAGTTCATCATCTCCGAAGCACTGTCGAACTGTCGCATTTTCTGGTAGCGTCAATTCAACATGTTCTGGTCGTGATCCAGGTTCGGGAAGTCCCAGAAAACGATCTGGCGAGAGGTAGCACCAGAATGAGCTCCTTCGGGAACCATCGAAGCCAACATCCGAAACTGACATATAATTTTTGTTACTCTGCCCGGTGGAATTGTTGAGAGGGTATCCCGTCAGCATACCTCGATGTAAACACCATTGCGCAAGATCTGGCGGTCAGGTTCAGGTTGTTGAACTTGTTTATAGGGTGAAGTCCACTCAATTGACGGGCTATCAGATATCCACAAACGTTGCAAGATGCCGCTGAACTCTTCGGCTGGGCTACTGAAACCTAGGAACTTGCACGGGGGCCGTCGCTGCCCAGGTCCGCGATTCCTTGAAGGCATTTCTTGATGCAATGAAGCGCTTCGCTAACCGCCTAACGACCGCCCGGGCAATGATTCTCAAAGAGAAGACCTGTGGCTCTCATTGTTTCGTATCAATAATTTCTGTAGTTTACGAAATTCTGCTGCAATCCGCCAGAAATCGAATGATTGACCTCGCGGGTATATCGCTGGCCTGGCGGGAGCGACCAGAATGGTGGATCTTTGGGAATACGCCATCGATGTGACTCTAGAGGAAGATGTTCGAGATCCTTACTGAATTCTCTCCGTTGAGATTAGGGTTCGATCTGTGTGCGATTAAGAAGGATGCACCAGATCAGCTTGTCGAGTCAGATTTCGAGTGATTCCAGCGGCTTCACTTCATGCGTCATTCGGAGAGCGTGAAAATTCTGACGTCGAGGCATTAGGCCTTATCACAGTACTGCATCCGCTTCTGTGTGCGCTGTAGATGCGTCACAAGCCACTCGCTCGTCTTTTCTCTGGCAAGCCTTGGCTCCTGTACAACCGCCTCCAACGCGCCAAGAACTGGTCTTCCGACGAGTCAAAGTTTTCGGACTCAGGTGACCATCCTGCGGAGAGGCTCCTCGGGTACTACCGTAACATCGCTTCGGCTCCTCCCTGCCTTACGATTCGCCACATGTTCGACGCTTGGAAATGAGGGAATACCATTTTACGGCATGAGCTGATCATGTCAATGATGTTCTACTAATATGTTGAGAACGGCCAAGTCTTGGAGGGCCACGAAGTACAGGAGCTACGGGCTACGGCCCCTCGAGTGAAGCGAAATTAAAACGAATTGACAAGCAAAAAGCCTATCCCATCTCGAGGACAGCTCCGAGTGATATGCGGGCTTCCCACTTTTCCCGACAGGAGGCGCATATCTGACGAGGGTGGAGTGATGCTCTCGTATTATACAGTCAAATACTCTCTAAGTGGGAGCTACTTATTCCCGGGCACGTTGGCTCTAGTTGCAAGAGCATCCCAGTCCAGTCCACAGCTCTGCTTACGACGCCGGAAAACTATCAGTGCAACCAGTCGAAGAGAAAGCGACTCCGACGCAACAGTCGTGCGGATTCTGAACCAAAGCAGCAGAGATCATCGACGATGGCAGATTGCGACCGCCGCACCGCTCTCATGCGATCCTCGCGGATGCGAGGATTTTTCAAATCCTTACGTACGAATTTCGTCCGAATATACACAATTCTGTATCTCGTCCCAGCTGTACCCTACCAGGAGCCGTATGGAATTCTGCTCTAGATTCATGCGGAATCGGACCCGAATGAGATTCCTCCCATCGTTTGCACCTTATGGAAGACAGGGAGAGAGATTCCACATTGGCACCCGGCTCCGGGGAATTCTCCCGAATCGATTCCCGTCCAAGACGAGCGAAATCATGGCTAATCGATTCCCGGTGATGTGCTATGAGTATGATGCGCGTGAAATAGAGCGCTTGATTCGGCTCCATCAATGTCATGGCATGATTTTCCCCACTAAGCGTTTTCCGACTGGGAGACTCGCGGTAGGTCCAAGCAAATCGACCGACATGTTTTCAGAAAAAGAATGACAATCGCGTGTCTTGCTGCCGCGGGGCTCAGCCGATTGGCGGCGCGTTACGCAATGGAGATGCGGATCCGTGGTGAACCAATAGGTCAATGTCGCTACTTGTTTCTGTCATTTCTCCGTCTCCTTTTATTCAGCAAGCCATGGTGGGAGCATGGTGAAGCTAGAAGCCGAGTAGAGCCATAGCGCGCTTTTCGAAAATCCATATATCCGAGCACTCATGTTTGCGAATGCAGGCGCACTCCAATTTCCGTGACAGTCTCCCTTAGACAAGACTTATCTCTCGAGGCGCAGAATCTGGATTTTAATGTTCAATTCAATGTTCAGCTCCCCTGATCTTGAGCCAGAGCCTCAACCTCGCATTATATCGGCCTAATTGTGTATGTATAAGTTCACACAATTGAAATATCGTCCGCACAGAAAAAAAGACCGTCGTGGGGAGGATAGCGATGACAGAGAGCTCTCAGCTATTTCCAATAGCTGGTCAGCATTGGCCGTAGGTCGCTGTCGTGTGGAAATTGTGGCGCTAAGCAAACGGAATGAGTGCTGTCTCCACCAGACCATCGTCAATCCGCAGAGTGTGCTCCCTGTCAGTTCTACTTAACGATGTGAAGCTTGATTTAGGCCGTCTAATGATTCCCGAATCTCATCCAAAATGTCTATTGAAGTTCACGAAATCTCGAGAACAAAATCCGCGTGATTATCTCTGGAGGGACGCCACACTCTCCTGGGTTCTGTCGACCCGACTGTAGAGGTTTTACTCGCTCGTATAATGATGTCCGGCAGGAAGTGATTTTCGTTCATTTATCAACGGAATCAAAGGTGACTGCCCTACAAAGTCCGTCCGAATTCTGAGAGGAAGCCCCTGCGTGCTAGGAGGTTCTTACGGAAGGAAGCTTTCATGTAAGAGAAGACTCATCTGGTACATGAGTTGCTCGAGACTGAAACGTTGTCGATGAAAGTCTGCGCCTTAGTCCGAACCGCCCGATCGGCTGATGAAAAATGCGTAGCAATCATCTGACGGCAACCTTCCGACGCCATATCTCTCCTGTGAAGAGGAGCTCGTGTGAGCTGTCGAAAACCCACGCGGCTGTCAGAATTCTCCCCGTCCGTATCTTCACTAGTAAAGTTTTTCTGCGCGAAGCTATCGCGTTCACGGAGTTTTTACACGGACTCCAGTCTTATGTTGCGCGCTCTGATAGGTCAAGCGCGAGCATTCGCCTTATTCTTCGGGTATATTCGTGCTTTTTCTCAAAGGCGAGACAAACGTCTCCCGGCGGAGCAGGGTACCTCCGGAGCTACCTCCTTATTTTTCTACGAGAAGTCTCTATTTTTCCTCGAACACGAGAGCCTCTGCTGTGCTGACTCCGTAGCGAAGGTCGCAATACTATTCCTTGCGCACGAGTCTTGGATTCGCCATTGGCAGCTCCCAGACAAATTCCCAAATCGAGGGCGGATTCCCCAGGCTGGGCCAAGACGCCGTCGATTGCTGCTAGCATCTCTTATGACTCGAAGCAGCCACACGAAGCCCGACGCGATATTCGGCTAGAATATCTCATCGCAGTCGAAGGAATTTCTGCAATCGCGTCGAAAGAGAGGGAACTCTGAGCCCGAGGCCCGAGTGAGCTCCAGCTTCCCGGCGACGCGGACTGTGGCTTGCGGACGGGATTGTCAAGAGTTTTCGATGAAAGAATATTCGCGTTGACACCGATGACTGCTTGAGGAGTCGATCGGAATACATCTCAGCCGAGAAGGTCATTTCGACTTGTCGGTACAGCTCAATGACAGATTGCATAAGTCGGGTTACGTGATCCTGTACGGCTTCTCAGGCGAGGTTTCCGCGATACAATGCATGGCCATCTCACGGGAGCCCTGCCAAATATCGACCAAACATGTTCAATACTTCGAGATTCTCGACGACATTTCCCAGCGCGCATGGAAATTCGGACCATTCCGGAGGATGGTCAATGACGGGCCGGAGCGGCCAATACTCTGGCTCTGCGCTTCAAGCAGGAATTCAGTTGACACCGATCCGAGATGCGTCAGCTAAGCTCCATCGATATGTAAGGACGGAAAGTTCCATTTCGCTCATCGAATGACGTGGACCCGACCGTGAACCGATTGAAGATGCTCCGGTGAAGCCAGGGAACTCGTTCCTGCTGCGAAGATGGGACGCGAGAGATATAATCGCTCTCATGACACAGATGTTTCCATCTGTTGTCTGACGCAGATGATTCTTGTTCTCCGCGGAAAAGCAATTGGAGCGGCTTGGATACAGAAAACGCGTAAGCATCGCGTGTCTGGGCGCCGCCGCAGAGCTCCGCCGATGGGCGCAGCCTTACGCAACGGAGATTCGGATCTGCTGCTCAGCATTGGGTCAATGCCGATGCTAGTCTGCGTCTTTCCTCCTCCGCTTCTCAGCAGTCAACCTTGGTAGACGCCCTGTCGAGCGGCGTGGAGCTACCGCCGGCCATCGGTGTCCGAGGATTCTCTAACTCAGACTGATAAGCGTAGCATAGGGTCTCCCAACCGAACGAAAGAATGACCCAATATAGTGTCATGTACAAGTCGCAGAGCTCCGACTTCACATACCGGACTGCATAGAGCTGCTGTTTTCTTTTTAACAAAAGAACGAAATAATTATTTGAATCATCATCTATAGATTCTTCCACCACCGTGGAGCGTCTCAATAAAGAGCGGCTCGGAGATTCGCCGTGGGAGACAAGCGATTCAAAACTCTCGGATAAGTTTCCTCATGCGCACGTGATTGGTAATCTGCATATTTTGTCTTTACAGGCATTTCGGACTCGCACATCATCCATTCCGTGGTCGAACCACCGACACGAATTCGCTCAATTGACGCCAGCCCAACTCAATGCATTCGTATCGACGATGGGGGAAGTTTTTAATTAAATAGACTGAGTGGGGAGGGGAAGTTAATGTTTTGTAAATATCATGTTTGAGCTTGAGATGTTGACAACTCTAGGACCGAAACAATCAAAAGACTTGTATGCTTTTCAAGAAAAATCGTGTCTTCGTTTTCTTTCTGGGGCCGGGAGAATCGCGTTGCGACACAATACCAGGGACACGGTGATTATTTCGTTTTCGACTTTCACTGTCAAAAAAGCAATTTTCCTTTCTGTATACGGTACGTCAGATCTCGCCCCTGCATCGACCTCGGCTCAGGGCCCGCTCCGTTCGCGTGATTTTGTAGATTCTTCGGAATAATCGGTTTCCACCATCGACGAACCCCGGCTCAAGTCGATATCTATCTACACGACCCCATCCAAGCTCGGTTTCCTCCTTACTGAGCCCCAGTTGGTAGGAGATGCGTTGAGTGTATATGGGGAATCAGGGATCAGACAGCCTCCGGCAAAGGGAACACTGGAGCGCCCTGGGACAGGGAAAATTTTCCGAAAGAGCTCGTTCGTGCCATAAGTGATTGGAAAATCCCTCCTTGTTGTCTCATTCCCGATTAGAAAACACACCATCGACTCGTTTCGGAGATGCGCCGCTGGAAGCATTCGAACATGCGTAGCATGACGCGGAATTCTTCGTGGAAAAACAGTTTTTCTTTCTCAGGCTCCTCCCTTGCCTCCAGTAAATCCGTCCGAACCGGAGCACAATCCGTCGCAGACGCTGGAATTCAGCGACGTCTTGCTGCAATGGCGCATCTGTCTGACGTCATCAGAACGATTTTTCTGATCATTGAGATTGGTGTCAAGAGACTTGACGATGCGCCATACCCCAGGTCAGCGAGATTCCGAGTTTCTCGGAGTCGATCGATCAGAATTACTCGTAGGGAAGCGGTCCATTGAGAATAAAATGTTCTATTTTCCCCCCAAAAAAATCCCAGAAGTCTCAGAAGGATCCTGAGCCGCTGGAAAGAAATTCTGATGCTGCCGACCCGACCTCCCGCGAAGTCCCAGTATGTTGTTCACAGAAACGAACTCGCTTCAAAGGTCCCACCCGGCAGGAAGCCCAGCGGGCGAAGCCGTCGGCGTCCCATGTGGCGAAGATACTCGACACCCAGAAACTAATTCGGGGAAGATCCAGACTATACTAACACGGGCAGCCGGAGTCAAGATAATCTGATCGTTGCGAATCTCGAGCCCCAGATGGTTCCAAGATATACCGGGTGGGAGCAGACTTTTTTAGATAAGCAGGATGAATCTTCGGATTCGCGGGTCCGTTTCTCGCGTAAATTAGGGACGAGTCATCGTTTGCAGAAACTCCCGGAGAGAATAGTAGCTGTGACGGGGATCCACAATTGTATTATACATACTTTAATGGCTGGGAAGTCCTAAGAACAATTACTATAGTGGGGTGAGCTCTAGACTCTAAACTTTTTCGGGCTGATCCACACAGCCAAGGTTTAACGTCCCGGGTACTGTTATTCACATTGCTTCCGAGGACGGATCCATAGAGCAAATGTACCCAGGAGGATCAAGGCCGAGTACCTGCATATTTTTCCGGCAGCAGGGATCGAACCCACACCGCCTCCCGCGCGAGCGGCGTCGTTGCGGCTCTGCACTCTGCAGCTCTAGACTCTGGCGAATCGCAAACGATCAAAGATGACGATGGTGGGCAAGAAATGCTTCAATCCTCGGGAGTGCCCCTCTACGCGACCGCACACTCTGACGTAATATGCCCAAACCTTGGAAAGGTTCAAACCTTGGTACAAGCAGACCTCCATCGCAGTAGGATAACCCGACCGTTACTCGGAAGAAGAGATGAGTCACCGCGGTCGTTTTTTGCGGAATTCCTCGGCGACTTGAGTTCCGGCGACCAGGGAGGTGATGGTCATGAGTCATGACCAGAGCTGTGCGCCGCGCCGAGCATTGCAAGTCCTATACTCAATGCTTAAGCGCCGCGGCGCGCCATGGCGCCGTGCGCCTCGTCCTGTATACGGCGCACAGCACTAGTCATGACTCATGAGGAGAGCTCGAACAGGTCCCGCGGAGGAATGGGGCCCGAAAGATCTCAACTCAATTCGGAAGAGGCTGGAGCTACGATAGACTCGAGAAACAAAAGAGACGGATTAGGAAAACCCCCACTCTACCCAATAACGGTATAATTATGAGGTAAAACAATCAGGCTTCGCTCTGAGCCTGTTCAAGATGAGACGAAGAATATCGGAGCCGATCGGAACCGGGTTTGGTTCGCTCAGAGTATCATTGCATTTTCTCTCATTCCCCGCATAGATTTAGTATGAGCGCTCTGCGGCAGATCGCCATATCGCTAGTCTCCCTGGAACGGAAAAGCGGTCGCACTTGTCCTTGCCAACGAAGGAAAAATCGAGATTTATTCCGCGCTGAATCGAATCGGATTCTCTCAGGCGACGTAGTACGAGGCAGCAGAAACTATTCCGCAACGGTTGGATCCTCTCGCGAGCTTCATGAAGCCATTCTCGCCCCAGGTGCTTCCCCAAGAGTTCTTGATAATCCAGTAGGGTTGGCCGTTGCTGGAACCGTAGCCGACGAGCAGAACAGCGTGGTTGATCTGAGTGGGGCAAGAGCGATTGTTGTAGATGCCTCCGGAGTAGCTGTAGAAATCAGAGTTCTCTCCATTGAGAGTGACGGCGATCGGGCCGTGGGTCGCGACCGCATTGGCCAAAGCGTTCTCATCTCCAGCTTTGACTTGCATCAGACGGAGATTATTAAGACTGACGGAGCCGCTGGTCGAGGAGCATCTACCATGAGTTTGAGTGTTGCCCGATCTGTACGGATATTCGTGCTCTTGGGAGATTCCATGGCGGAGGGCGTGCTGGATGGTGGTCGCGGGATCTCCACCTCCGCATCCGAAGTTCATGTTGTGGATATAGCGGTTCAGAGTGCAATCAACGAGCTGCTGCTCGGAGAGATCATAATTCTTCCTAGAGTTCTTCAAGAGGGTGGATTCGATGGCTCCTGCGGCGGAGAAAGTGTAGCATGATCCACAGCTGGCCTGGTTCTTGACCGACGTCACGGCCGTACCCCTCCAGTCTACGGATTCCGGGGCGTTGGGCATCGTAACCTCGGAGATGGAAGCGTTGAGACCGGCTCTGATTTCCTCGTCGACCACAGCTCCGAGCTTCGTAGCGCGTATCTCGGCATCGGTCAGATCTGACAGAGCATTCAGACCGAGGAAATAGCTGACCTCTCCTCTCTCGAACCTGGCGTTGTGAGCTTCGATTTGTTGGAGCTTCGAGTTGAAAGCCTCGAGGCGCGCAGCCTCGGCAGCCGGACTGGCGTATTCCTTGCCGTGACTCGCCTTGAAGCTACTCCACTTGGCGTGGAGAACATCGCTGGCAGAGGCAGCACCGAGAACGAGGAAAAGAGGTATGAAAGCTCTCATCTTTCCGGGAGGGTGTGCTGTCCTAAGTATCCGGCGGTCTTTTAAGGAGCATCTCCACGAGGTTTGTGGCTTTACAAAAGGGCGCTCGATCAATGTCTGCCTCGACATTCAGCCTCGAGGCGCTGGAGTGATGCGCAACTCTGCAGTAGCACAATGAATGGAGTTCAGAACGCGGGATGCGACCTTGCAGGGTTTTATTGTTATTGCTCGAAAGATCGATGTCTTGACCAGCCCTGGTGCCTGCAATGCCTCCCTTCTGACCTCAGTATTCCGATTCCAGTGTCCGCATCGAATATTCCGTCAGAGGACGGACTCTACGCGCACGGAATGCTCCGACGCCGCGAGCCGGCGCGGCCTTGTGGGCTATTCTTTAGGGGAAGAATCTTCATTTCAAAAACAACTGAGGTTGAAAAACCACGATGAGAGAAGGATAACCGCAAAGCCACTCCTCTTTGCACGAGCGTCCTCGAATCGGAGGCTTCCCTCTCGTTGTCCCTCTGCCTCCTCCCGAAATCCCTATGGATTTTTCGCTTGAATGTATGAGGATGGGCTTGGCCATGACCCGGATCTTACTTCGTTGCACGGTTCTGTCGTTGGGGATCGCCCAGCTGGGATTCGTCAGAAACTCAACTGCTTGGCGCATCCGCTCTGCGGCGACAGAAAGGCTCGAAGCCAAGGGAAGTCGGGCGATCGACCCTCGCTTAATTAAGAGTCTTCCGTGATAGTCGTGAAGCTCCGAGGTCTCTCCGCTCGCGATCAATTCATTTATACACATGCGCACGGCCTTGCTCGATCGGGATCACTCTCCGCGGACATGCGTATGGTGAATCTCCTCAGATAACTCAGATAAGATACTCTGGGAGCACCATCAGACTACTCTTCCCGTCGAGCATGTGACATGTTCGGTCTCGTCGGGTCGGATGATATTGAATCAGAGCGCGAACACGGCAGGCCTAGCTTGAAAATCACATTATGAGGCACTAATCGATACCATGGAAAATGCATGCAGCCTTCCCTTGTCCTCGGGGCGCTGGCGTGTTGGATCTCGGAATGACGGAACTGAATTTCGGTTTTTCCACCGGAGCCGTCGTGGTCGACTCAATGCGTCTAGATGGACGGTCGGTTCTCAACTAAGTTCCTTCGCCGCTGCCCCCGCACATCGGCGGGCTCACCTTCCACGACGAGTTTCGGTTTCTCTTTCTTGTAGCATATAGAGAACCTTCACTTCGATATGCGTCATACAGGGAAGCGACACTCACGGAAGACTTTTCCGGGAACCAGCCCCACGAACTATTAGAGAGAGTGCAACTTGTTAGAAGCGCGAATAATCTATGGCATTCCACCATCGAGAGAGCGAGTCCAGCATGATGGGGATGATTTCTCACCTGAAGATTCTCATTGAATCGAGTCATGAAGGATACCATGTCCGTGACGGTCTTCCCTCAGTGCATCTGGAGTCGAGACCCCGACAAGCCATCTCCCCGAACCCAATGAGAATAACTCGAGTGAGCTGGGACGGTCTTATGTATAGTAGTGTCATTAGACTCAGCCGGTCTTGTCGGATAGAGAGAAGGCTCGACTCATGATACATACTTAGCAGATACTACGCAGAGGTTCATTGGTCATTTATTGGTCATTTACTGACATTTATTGGTCCGAATATAAATGTTTGAAGCAGGGAGAAGAATCAGCGGAACGAATACCTGCAATACTATGCGTGGTCGAATCAACTGCGCTCCTCGGATTGAGAGTCTTATCTCGTGTCGAAACGGTCCGGCTGATATCGCTGCTCCAGCGCACAATCACAGCGGGTCATGCATCGTGATCTCAGCCGACCCCCGAGTTGAGACGCGCTGTCCTTGGTTTCGCTTGACATTCCGCTTTGTTTGTCGACCTCATATTACCCGCGAGGAAGCAGGCAAGCAAGCGGCCAACAAAGGAGGCCAACTCTAGCGGTATTCAAAGTGATCCCTCGGGACGGAGATCCGAGGACATGGAATTCCTTCACAGCGGAATGGCTTGCGAAGAAAGCATTGTACAGTTCTCCTGCGAAGCATCTGGAATCGCTGCGGCGCTTACCATAGGCAGGGAGCAAAGGTGGCTCGGAGAGGCGCCTGCAAGAGTGCCGAAAGAGAACAAACATAGAGGCTTTCAAGCGATTTTGCTCCCGAGACAGATTTCGTCTGTGCGAGCGGAGCTCACGGGGAGGTGTGCCCGACGAAGGTTTCCGAGAATTTATTCTCATTCCCCACGGAGAGTCTCTAAGAGCACGTCGTGCGATGTGCGAGGTGTTCGCAATGCCAATTCATAATTGACGAGCTCAGCGGAAAGCATCTGACAGGGAATACGGCCAGAAATATCTCGAGAATCGGACCCAGAAGGAGCGCGGACAGTCGCCCCAATTGCTGCGCACCATACTTATCCGTGGAATTATTACCCCAAGTGTCTACCGCTGATGATCAACGTCGACATCTTATGGTACACGTACGCGTCTGGAAGAAATATTGGTTGACAGTTGACAGCTCCGGGTCGGAGAATCACTCCCCCTTCTCTTGCACCAATCGATGCTCCCAAGTCGTAATAGTTCAGTTTCGGCGGGAAAGCTCTCGCGGTAAACTTGAATTGTCCGAATCTGAAATCACGCGGGATGGGGGCGGCCGGGCGCGAATGTGGACATTCGTTCAATGGTTCCCTGGATTTGAGCTCCTCATATTGACATTAGAGACTTTGCGATCACTTAAAAAATAAAAATAATCCATCTATATATATAAAATTGAATGTCCACTTGTCTGTCATGGTCGCCTATTCTTGGAAACTAAAGGTAACTTAGTCTTGGAACTTGTCGTGACGAGGCACGTAGTACCTGGGAAGGTTTTAAGCCTATCAGATCCGAGAAGAACGGACCCCTTTTCCGTCATTCAGTCATTTCGTGTTCCAAATTGCCTCTTGGGGGAGCTTCGTTATTTTTCGTTTCTTTTTTTCGTTTCGCGCTCTTTCGTTTAACATCGTTATTTTTTGATGACATTCCATGAATTCGATCGGAATCGGACTTCGGAATAATCTCTGATCTCGCTCCTTTGCGAAGACATTACATATGCCGCCTAAGCGCAGACGGAGCTGGCTGGGTCGATATTCGCGCCGTGCGACTAAAAGGAAGGCCTCGATAGCTCTTGACACTGATTCTCAACGAGCAACGAGGTTGCAGCTTGACAGAATATGGCACTCGCGAGCGCGTTTGACAGAGGATGAGGATCGTCGAAATGCGAGACTGGAAGTAGACCGTTTGCGGCATTCGAGGACACGAGTTAATGAAACGAATGAGCGAAGACTTCCGCGCTTGGATGGGGTCCAATCTCATACTCTCCAAATGCATTCCGAGGAAACGGAGGACGAACGGGTGGAAAGATTGTTGGCTGATGGAGCCCGGCATGTTCAGGTCAGGCGTAGCATACATAATGATTTGAACCTTGCGGCTTTTTAGTATGACCCTGGTATAGATTACAGCAAGCACCGTGGTGTGAATATAGGAAGAATGGATCAGGTATGTAATTCCTGCCGAGCACTCTTTGCTAAAGAGACCCCAGGCATGTGCTGTGCGGGAGGAAAAGTCAAGTTGCCCGAAGTGTGTCCGACGCCTGAGCACTTAGCGACATTGATATCTGGGAGCACGGATCAGTCCAGACATTTTTTGAAAAACATTGGAAAGTATAACTCATGTTTCCAAATGACATCATTCGGAGCGACGGAAATCATCCGAGACAGTTATATGCCCACCTTCAAAGTACAAGGTCAGGTATATCATCGCGCTGGGTCTCTTTTGCCGCTACCGGGGGCTGATCACCAATTCCTCCAGATTTATTTCATGGGCGACACAAACGAGCAAATCGATCAGAGGCGTCGTTTCCTTAGTGGAACAATCCGTGAGATTGTTGCAGATTTACAGGACATGCTGCATCGGCACAACGAATTAGTACGAGTGTTCAGATCTTCTCTTGAGCTCATGCCGACAGATGACTATGTGGTTGTTATCAAAGCTGATAAGACGCCAGTCGGAGAACACGACGGGCGATTCAATGCGCCAACATCGGATGAAGTGGCTATCGTAATTGTTGGTGAAGAATTCAACACACGAAACATAGTCCTTCGTCGCAGAGACGGCTGTCTTAAGAGAGTTTCGGAAACCCATCGCTCCTTTGATGCTTTGCAGTATCCGCTTTTATTCTGGCAAGGCGAAGATGGTTATCATTTCAATCTGAGAATGAGAAATCCAGGAACGGATGAAGAGACCAGTAAGAAGGTCAGTGCCATGAATTACTACTCATACCGGATAATGATACGCGATAACGCAGAGAATCATATCCTGTTTTGCCGACAATTATTTCATCAGTATATTGTTGATATGTATGCGAAAATCGAAACCGAAAGACTCCTGTTCATTCGATTGAATCAAACCAAGTTACGGTCAGAGGGATATGTTCATTTACGAGATCCGATTGCCTCTGATGTTGATCCCAATCATCTTGGGAAGGTGGTGATACTGCCGGCAACTTTCATGGGGAGTCCTCGCCATATGCATGAGTATTCGCAGGACGCAATGACGTATGTTCGCAATTACGGTCGCCCCGATTTATTCATCACGATAACATGCAATCCAGCTTGGGAGGAAATCAAAGTTCATCTCTCATCTGGACAATCAGCCTCAGATCGGCACGATTTGATCGCGCGAGTCTTCAAACAAAAACTGAGAGCTTTCATGGATTTGATTGTAAAGATGCGGGTTTTCGGGGAAACTCGCTGTTGGATGTATTCAATCGAATGGCAGAAAAGAGGATTGCCACACGCGCATATATTGATATGGTTGATCAGCAAAATAACACCTGATAAAATTGATCAAGTTATTTCAGCTGAGATTCCCGATAAACACACAGACCCTGAATTATTCGAAGTAGTCATCAAAAATATGGTTCATGGTCCTTGCGGTGTTTTCAACACCAAGTCTCCTTGCATGGAGGATGGGTTCTGCACCAAACGGTATCCGAGGGAACTACTCGCAGAGACTATGACTGGAAATGATGGCTATCCCTTGTATCGTCGACGCTCAGCGGAGGACGGCGGGAAAACTTTCACATTGAAGGTGCGTAGCAGCGATATCGAAGTCGACAACAGATGGATCGTACCGCATTCCCCTATACTTTCAAAAATATTCAAAGCTCATATAAATGTCGAATATTGCAACTCCGTGAAATCGATGAAATATATTTGCAAGTATATCAACAAAGGAAGCGATATGGCAGCTTTTGGTATGAAAGATCCTTCAGCTCCGATTGACGAGATCAAACATTACCAAATTGGACGATACATAAGCAGCAATGAAGCCATATGGCGCATTTTTTCTTTTCCCATTCATGAGAGATATCCAACCGTGGTTCACTTGGCAGTGCATCTGGAGAATGGACAGCGCGTGTATTTCACAGCAACTAACATTCATTCCAAAGTTTTATCTCTGCCGCGAGCAACCCTGACTGCCTTCTTCGCGCTATGTGCGAATGATGAATTCGCGAGTTCTCTGTTATATGTGGAAGTCCCGAGATACTACACATGGAATACGGTGACGAAGAGTTTCAAACGACGTAAGCAGGGTAAACCGGTCGAGGGGTATTTGGATTTGTTTTCATGCGATGCTTTAGGTCGTCTTTATACTGTACATCCGAATAATCAAGAATGTTTCTTTCTTCGCCTGTTGTTGGTCAACGTTCGAGGACCGAATTCTTTCTCAGTCAGAGAAGTAAAACAACGTTTGAGCGCTGTAGTCATACGTAAAAAAGCTCTACGTATTTAATCGTTTAGAATACGTCATATGAAGACTAGGTCCCTGTTCCGTCGCTTTTTTCTGATCGTTGTCATTTGTACGGGATTCTTTGACTTATGTAGTCTGTTCTTATAAATTGTTCCTTCTTGGTGAATTTTTATCAAGTGGTGCACAGGGGCGCGGCACAGCGCGCGGGTCGCGCTAGTTATTAATAATTCTAAAAACTAAAATTAATTCAAAAAAAAATTTATAACTTTTCCCGCCGCAATGATGCTCATGTTTTCGAGTTTCGAGGTTAGTTATGACACCAGAACGATGAACATAATCATCGATCATGAGATTCCACCCTGCGCTCAGAATACTGTCGGCGAAGTAGTGCTTCAATTCGGACGGATTCCTGAGTGAAAACCTGATGTTCGCGCTCTCTGATCGACGAGCGCGACTCCTGTGCTCGTGATCTCGAGCGATCTGTAAAGCCTCGCGTAGTTAATGAAATTCCTGTGACTCCGGATCGATCTGGACGCAGTGGATCAGCTCACCGAGCGGTCAGAAGGAGGATGCGGAGGTGGAATAGAATAGCATTCGAATTTCGCTGAAGCACTGAACTTCCGCTCCACTTTTCTGCTCATGCGCAGATCATCCGTCGGCCAAGATTTAGTGGTCTTTCGAGGTTCGGCCCAATAAATTGATTCCTCTTAAGTGCCGTCATTCGCGCAATCTCCACGGATTGACGCCATTGAGTCAGTGACGTGCGCCCGGAAGTTTTCAGGATTCGATGACAGCACCGAGTGCCCTTCGGTCTCCGTTACTCTAACTCGATTCTGGAATACCGTGGATATAAGCGGCGACCTCTCGCGCAACATCCGGAATTTCGACGGGGCGGTGATCTAGAAAGGAGTTCCGCAGCGCTCCCGAGCAGAGGCAGCGAAAGAATCTCTCTGGAGCTCCATACGGAATCCTGCAAGGCTGAAAGGTCGGACTCGGAGAGCTCCATGCATACCGGGTTCTCTGGAGACTTTACATTTTGTTCATCCATCCCTAGGGATCCTCCTTGTTTTCGAAGATGTCGAACGGAGCCATGCATGCTAGAAAATCCTTTGTCTGTGCCGTCGCGGTTGTTTCAGAGGCACGTCTTCCGTTGGAAGAATTCAGCAACAGCCTGTCTTGGCAATATTTTCATCGATGTCAGGCTAGTATCAACCACTTGGGTGGAATGTTCCGTTCTCTTTTTCCTACCTCATATCGGTGCAACCGTTCCTCTTCGAAAATATTAGAATCGAGCTCCCGAGAGTCGGGGACAGTTATTCCGGAATAATGCTGCTCTTCTTCACGTTTTCCCAGCTCTTCTTCGACGTATTATCATTTCGTATTCGAGAGCTTGTACGGCTTCTCATAGGAATATTGGCGAGTTGCGTCTCGTCTTACCCGAAAAAGAACCTCAAATAACCCGAGCGGGAATTCCGATATGCATACGGCTATACGCCATGCTGTCTTCAGATCGCCTGCCGTGAGTATCATCTCAAATAATGATGTTTGTTTTCCCCTCGAACGATTTAGCACCGGGGCATATTTTTCAATTCTTTGCGTATCATTTTGCTCGAAATCGATTTCCTCGCCTGCATCCACGGTCGAGTCGCTAGGAAATCGAATGGGATCTCCTGGATCCCCAGGTAGGTAATTCATTTCTCCTCCATCGGCTCGACTCCTGAATGCAGGGCTCTTTTTGTTATCTTCGCTCAAAAATGGGCGCCGAAGCCTAAGTACCCAAATAGGCCATAATGATTCGTTCGCTCAACTCAGCTGATAACTTGCGGCTGACTTCTCCGTGAAAGAATGGTTCTATTGTCTCGAGCGAAGAATCTTGAGCGGCGGAGAAGGCTCTCACTGTCGCTTCGAATGGGAGCATTCACATAACCGCGTCGATGAACGTCGAATCGACACTCCGGCATGTGACATTCTACGAAGATTTTCCGTGGTGCCGCGCAAGGTGGACTCCCCACAATACGTATCCACCTTCCGGACAACCTTATCTGGGAACATATACCGTCACATGTTTGGCTCTGATAAATTCGAGGCGTACATGGTCGCGAATTCGGTGAGCGGTCATCGACTCAGGCTTCGAGCTTATCCGATGAGATCTGGCGCTCGAGACCGTAGTCGGCGGCGACGCGCGACGCCCATCGTTATCTCGCGGGTCATGGGAATTGAGGAGTGGAATAAAGGACCTGATCATGTCTGTGAGAGAGCTTCAGTAGCATCAGCCTCCTCCCCGATGGAACATTCTCTGTCGCTGGCGCGAAGAAAGAATACACGCAACGCGACGTCGTTTTCCCGACAAGGAACTTTTCGGATCGATATCTGCGATCTTACACCCGAGAGGACAACGATTAACTCTCAACGCACAGCTGTTCCGAGGAGATGCGGTCGCTGTCCGAGCTCAGCCGAGACGAGCCTCCGACAGAGAATTGATTGCGACGACGTTGAGCGTGCTCCCCGGCGGAATAATGCTCCGGGAACTGGAATGGACCACCAGAGCAAAGAGCGAGGAGCGACCCATGTGATCATCGCTGAGGAAGCTATCACGCGGGGCATGGATACGGAGCAAGATGACGCGACGGCAAACAGGATCAGATCTCAACGTGAAAAAAAAATCAAGTGCCATGCCTGATTGAGATATTCCACGAAGGTCATCCGATGGGATTCCGCTCGAGAGTCTTTCGGGTATCTCACATCCTCGATTGAGGCATGCTCCCCTCGACGGACGTGGGACGAAATCGTCAACGAGGAAGACTGTCGAAGGCATAGTGTCTGGTCAATCTGGAGGGCCGTCTGGCGTTCCTTTGGGCTTCTTCGCGTACAAATATGGTCACCTACGAGAGAAAGTAGCCTCAGTATTAACCTTGTTGCCGATACCTAGAGATGTTCAGAGAATTCTTGCCTGCGTCGGAACCATCGGTGTAGATGCTCTACAACATTTCTGACTAGCCTGGGACGTGTCAGCGGCCAGTCCGGATGGAAGAGGATTCGTTCGAGATTCGACGACTCCGAGGAGTCGGACTGAAGATATTCGACCAGTCGGGAAATTCCCAGAAACTGATTTCCCCGGGGAGTCCGAGGCTCACCCTGGTCGACACTGATGGGGCCACGCTTGCGACGCGGATAAAAGGACCCTCGGCTATAGGCTGGACCCCATGAGCTCCGCAATGAGCTTTCATCGCGGCAAGACGCACGTGTCTAGGTTCCCGTATCTCTTCACGTATGGTGAGAGCTGTGTTAGATGGACTTCTCCTGTGAACTTTCTGGGAGATATGCTTCGATTTGCAGCATATGCAACAACAGATCCATAATGTTGCGAATGGCAGGGGTCCGCGAGGACGGTCAGTCATATCCGAGGGTCCCCCACCTCCGGGAACGGCTTACAGGGGAGGTTCTACGGGTCTGGGCTCGCGTCGCGAGTTCGTTATGATCCTGTGCACAAATTGATATGTCTGCCGGATCTTCCAAGATTGGTTTCAATGAGTCGGAGTCAGGACTCTGGGGGAAGAGCTTCGAAATTCGACCCATTTCCGAATGCAGGTCCCCATAGCGTCCGCGCTCCGCCCGGAGACCTCGGGAATCGAAATACCGACGCGGGTAAGCTGCTGCGGTCGCTTTGAGGCAGTGACACTGTTTGACACAGGCCAGAACAGACTTGGCCGCCAGAGTCGGTCTGACCATTTGAAACTTCGATGGTCAAAGATGGATTCATCGCCATCAGTGCTGAGCGCCGATTGAGGGGCCTCGTTCTCGTCCCCCTCCCCGAAATAGAGAAAGAGCGAGGGCTTCTGGAAACGACGAGAAACTTTACAGTCTCCCAATGCTTCCCTCTTGAATTGACGTGGTGAGCCCATCATGCGAGGTGGATGCTGGAATATTTTGTGGTTTGGTGATTTTTCCTTCCGCCGGTAGGGCAAGCTCAAGCAACCGTATGCTATGATGGCTCGGAGAGCGTCGTGTCGAGCACGAATGGTCCCACACGGAAGTCCCCTTGCAGCTTGCGGGAGGGGCTGAAATTTGAATTCAAATGGACAGAGAGACTCCGAGCGAAAACTCGCAAAGCCGACAGGAGGGAGAGTTTTCGTTTCTAATAAGCACCGACCTGAGCTATCCTCGACTCCATGAACTTCTCCCGAGATCCCGTCTGGCTTTCCTTCTCAGGAAGATTCACTTCGCTCCAGCAACTTTCAAATTAATCTGTATCGCGCCCCGGAACACCTGGACAGCGAGATTCCGCTGCGTCACGAACGGCCTTGCGCCATCACTGATAATTGACTTATGATAATCTACCGGGGATTCAGTTCTCTTTTAGGACTGAGAGATTCGAGAATCAGAACACCTTCATGTGGTTTGTATTCAATGAGCGACTCGCGTCGGCTTTTGCGTTTACACCGAGAGATGAAGCTTGACGGCACACTTGAGGATGAGGTAAGTTGATAGCTCGAATCCGCAAATATTCTGACCAGACGTCGCCTATGAAGCTGTCGCTGAGAAGATCCGCAGATGGGCATCCCGTGCTAGCGAAGCTCCGGTAGGTAGATACCGCCGCTAGAGGATTCGGAGCGGTTGCCCGTCCTTATAGACCGATGGGTAGCCCACATCGTCCGATTGCGCCCCGGAATTCTCTCCGAGATGCGCTGTTCTCGAGGGAAACTTGTCAGTGATGGTCCGAAGAGCTGCCGCTCTCGAGCTGGTTGAGCACGGAACAATAACTCGAAAGGGATTTCGCCGAGCAGTCGTGCGTTTCAGAAATCCACGCAATCAATCGGTGAGATCAAGCTTCCCAGTCGATAGAATCGTGCCTATTCTACGTCTGGGGAAGATGAATTGGATCTACCTAATCTCTATCTGAAACGAAGCTTTCATCCAAGGGGGAGTTCCTGCAGCAAGGTCCTGAAATCGATATTCCGCGATACGTTTCAAGACCTTTCCATGGCTCCTAACGGAATGAACTCATTCAATGACATATTAACAGGTACGCTGATTTCCCGCAATAGTTATCTACGCTGCATCAGCTCCCGGCGCGGTTCGTTATCAAATTCGAAAGTAGGTTGAATTATTTTCCTCCGACTCTAGAGCTTCTGAGAGAGCTAATTCCAGATCCCTCGCCTGGCTGCGTCCGACTCTGATTGTCCACGACATCTCATCACGACTCAGTAATCTCGAAAACTCTCTTGTTAGCTGTCTGAATCTGACCGGGTCTGCGGTAGTCCGGGAAAATCTCTAGGACGGGAGATTCTCGCTCCTTTTTGTCCTTTGTTGTCGATGGGAGGACTAGGGTTGACACAATGTGATTTATTATGTGGGCTCGGCATGAACGAAACGCCTGGAGCGACTGCCGCTCGCAAACAGACGGTCTAAAGTCTGAACCATCGATCGAACGTCGCACCGGTCTCACCGACCGAGCGACCGGAACCTGGCGATCCAAACCATTACGATCCGAGGCAATCCTGTCGCGAATTCCATCGAGTTCGAGTTCTCCGTTTCGGGATCTCGCTCTCCTTGCTCGGTGCGTAATCCTGACTTTTGGGGAAGTTCCCCCCTGCGGTCCAATTCCTATTCTCAACTCGCTCTGCGTGAGGGCAAGAGGAGGAAAGGAGCGATTTTCTGCCGCCGCAGGAAGTGTTGAATTGCTCAATGCATTCGTGCTCCCTGCGAGGCTCCGAGAATCGGTTAGGGAGAAAACAGAAACCTGAGACGTCACAACGGCACTGATTGTTCGAGTCCAGAGCGCTTGCGGCGGTGATTTTCAACAAGTATGCAAGCCCTTACCTCCGGGCTGCATCGTGGGAAGGGTTCAGAGAGTGCGCGGCGACTCAGCTAGGTCTTGTTCCATTCAAGATCTGGCTCCAGAGGAGAGCTGCGGTCGGCTTCCGTGTTCGAACTCTCATTGCGTGATCTTTTCCTCAGTGGTAGTTCGGGTGAAGTCCTTTTATCGCTTCAACGTAGAATGTTTTGGACTCCCTGCTTCCAATTTCTCTGAGCGCACCCAGATCCTTCGCTCATGCTTCAAGTTTTTCTCCTCTCGAGAGAAGTCATCGTCGTCCCCGGGAACAGCGACCGTCGCTGGAGACGTTCGGCGAAGATTTCAGAAACGCGATCGATTCAAGAAGCCACAAGTGGCGTCCTCCGGCTGAGGATATCTTTCGGTTTGGAAACTGCCTGGAAACCTTTTCACTCTATCGGCTTACGATCGTCCTCGCGATTCATCCACTTACACAGATGACGTCATGGGAATAACGTATCGCATCCAAACAAGCGGATGCTACAATCCGTTCGCGGATCCGGCTTTACTTCGGAATTCATGGACGGCTGGACAAAAGCCGCGCAGAAAGCCTTCTGCGTTTGCCTTGTGTGGATGCTGAAATCCGACGACATCGCTTTCGAGAAAGTCAGCAGCTCTCCTCGGGTAGCAGAACTCTCCCCGAGCTGTGCCAGGCGCACTTTCTGTGGCTTATTGCAAGCCATATTCTCGCGGAGCCAAGACTTCCAAGACTCCCATACTTGAATGACCAGTTCCTTCTCCCGAAGGCGAGAGCAACGGCCGAAATCGAGGTAGAGAATAGTTTGGGTTTTTCGAGTTCTAGATCGGAGCGCAATGATCCTTATCCGAAAAAAATCGATGCTGGTGTGACAAAAGTGCGTGCAGTCTCAAGCTCGTCAAGGTGTAATTTCTCCCAAATCGGATGAAATATTTTTTCTGAATCTGGATTCGCACCTGACACGGGAGTGGAGCTCATCTAGTTGTCAAGCCTGTTCGAGTCGCCTCCACGTCCTCTGTCTCGTCGGAATTTCCTAGGAAGCTCTCCCGGCGATTCGCGGCTCCCGGGCCCTTTGTTGAGATGAGACCACCGGCCAGATGCAATGTGCGAGCTACTCATATGTCAGTAACTTCTCCTCGGAGTTAATTTTGGGGGGATCCTCCGACTTCGATGGGGGCCCGGTGCTGGAGACGGGCTGCTGGGGGAGTCCAGTCGCTGATTCGGATCGTGCACGTTGCCCGATTCCGGAAAGCTCTCGCAAGTGTTCTCATATGTGGTCTGGGGCCGTGGAGCTTTTCCATCGTCGGCTACCTGCACGAGTAATGAAAGTCTTCGTCCGAGAGCAGAAGCTCCCTCGCGAGTTCATACGGTAGCTAGGGATTTCCCCTCCTTTTGAACAAGCGGACTCGCGAGGGGCGCTCGACTCTATTGAACTTCGCTCGGGCGGAACAATGCTATGGACCGTCCTCCTCCATTCTGAAGGTGATGTTTCCTGAGCGCAGTATGATTCGCTCGGAGCTAATCATCCAATGGTCCAAGGTATTGACGGGGGCACTCGGACGTAACCTGATCCCAGCGCTGAGACAAGGCTTCTGCTTCGATTTCCACGAGAAACGGGGGACTGCGTGAGAGGAAGAACGACAGAACATCGAAGAACGGAGCCCCTCCTGTCTCTGACACGATCGTCTCGCTTCAACAAACAAGCGATACACTGCGACGCCCCACATCGCACGCCGTGGCAGGGAGCTCGGCACATGCTCCCGGAAGATATCAACGCAGATCCGAGAAGGGACATCCGACCCACTCAGGGCGAACCGGCTGCAGTTTCTCGTTGAACTCACTGAGCCCAGGGTTTGCTAATGCGATTGAGCGGGGAGCACCTTAATGGATATCCCTGGTTGTCCGCATTAGGTGGTTTCCTCCTCAAGGAAGCGCTGCAGAGCATTTCTGAGCATCCATCTGATCAGAATGCTGGAAGTCATAGAAGGGGCTGTCTGTCATCTTGAGCTCTTCGCTCTAACCTGGTCATCGTCAAAGTTTTGCGATTATCGGCGCCTCTGTCATGCTAATCGTAAGAGGACTCGACAAGCTGAATTTCTCTTCCTGTCGGTATGGAATCCGCGATCCTGCGCCACATTCGAGCCATCTGCCTCGCTTGACTCCAACCCTTTCCGATGGGGAAGAGGGACGAGCCTCTATCGAATTCGATGATTCTCCTTCCGCATACACGAAGTGAAGCTGAGGTCCTCAGACTTGAACGCTCGGCTCGTACCACGACAGAGTTCGAACATGAGTCGACACGAGTCCCGTCGGCTCGTGGGGCGGTGCAAGGCTGCGAACGCGCGGCTCCGGATACCACACGGGCTGAGGACAAATGGACGTCGGAAGGAGCAATGCGAGATGGAGTAAAGGCGTGGGTGGACTTACTCTATGAAGCGACCTTGATACATCCGAAGTTTTGCGGACGACATGCAGCGTCAGCTACGAGGTGATCAAATTGATGGCTATCATACCCGTCATCATTGCGTGGGTCGAAAGACGGTTACGCGGCCCAATGGCAGTTGTGAGGCCTATTTATCCCGAGTTCTCCATGATCAGGGCCACAGGGCTCCTCAGATCAAGGATATGATTATGGTCGCAAAGCCGTGCAGACGACTCCGGCGTACGAATGAAGAGGTTGAGGTTTCGATTAAACACGTCCGCGCGGCGGAGAGCGGCGAGAGCTCCATCTCGGGAACATCGGAGCCGATACTGGACCCCGAGAGATGGATCTTCCGCTCGGCCGTGGGCTCCATCAAAAAGTTCCGAATGGTTTCCGGCTCATGGCGCGGTCAACTTTCGGTAGCTCAGTGAGAAGCTTCAATTCGAGTTCCCCTCCTTGCTCCCTACCAATGGGTATACCGAGCACCCAATGAATGCGGCGCGGCGCCGTGAGCGTCCGGAATCCGAACTTTCATCGCGCCGTGAAGCTGTCGTTCCGTTCCAATTAGCTTCACGCCGATCCCGGTTCCGAAATCGTGGGTCTTCTTCCGAATCGAATCTAGCGAGCATTCCATTTCAAAAGCCGATCCACTCCGGAGCTGAAACGCAATCCCTCCGGGATCCGCGACCGCGTTCAAGGACATCACGGGTTCGGCCCGGGAGGTCCGCTAGAACCTAGAACTTCGAAAGAATGCATCGAGGACTCCGCAAATATCGAGAGGGTCATGAATAGTCAGGAGCGGGAAACAACGTGGGAAAGGGGACTGGCCCTCCGTTGCGAACCTCGAAGAGACTTCAAGGTTTCAAAAATATCCATATTGTGGGTTTGTAGGAGGATGACGTTTCGACCGAAGCTTATGCTCCCAAGGCTCGCTGCTCCGTAAACCATGGAATCCTGTTGAGCTGAAATCGCCGTGCCGCGAGCGAGATGGAGCACCGCTATCCGCGTTCCATATTGGATTTTGGAGAGTACGGGATCGGCGAACTCCGGTAGAATCTTACGCGGAAAACCCGAAGGGGAGTTCGCGTTGTCCGGTCATCACAAGGGAGTTTTCACTGCCAGCTTGTCGTCCGTTCGGAACGGTTGAAAAGTCTGAAAAGTCGCTAGAACCTGCGCGCGAGGCAATACCGAACACCACCGCGGGAATCGCGGGAAAAATCGGTCTCAACGGGTGTCCACCGCGTTTATTCAGAAACGTTAGGTAGCTGGATAAAGAGAGAGCAAAGTCCAGGAAATCGAGCTTTCTGAGTAGGTTAGGTGGAATTGATCGCTGCTATGACGCAGCGAGGTCAGCCAGATAGGAATTTTTTTTTGCAAACTTCTGCGATGCAACGTGCATGCCAAAAGCGAATTCAACCGTCTTGTTGCCTTAGTCACACGTTTATTGCGGAGAAAATAAGAGTGATTTCCTTAGGGGTACTCCATTAATTGACGGACGGTCTCTTCGTCCCGGAAAGGTCCCGTCCACTCAGACATTATCGAGCGAAAAATCAAAAAAAACTGCCAATCCGGACCCAGGCCAGGAATAAACACGGATGTCCCGGGACGACACAGATGTTCGGTGTCGACGCGGAAACTGCCCCTACCATGCTCATTCCTGGTCCAGATGATTCTGCACTGCCGGCTACGCAAGGGCCGGACTCCGCCTTCTCTCTGGCATCGCATTCTGATGTTATCGAGATCCGCACCACTAGTAATCGCTCAGTATTGAGTTAGCAGTATTAGATTACTTAGAAGGTATATGCTTAACGCCCAATTACCTACGATCCCACCGAGTTCGTCGTGATAATCGAAGGATTGATCTCGAACATCTGTACGACATTGTATCAGTAGGTACCTAATTCATAAGCTTAGACTCGGGGAAATACACCACATCGGACGAGCCTGCTCTGGATAGTGACGTGAGCGTCTTTGGCTTGTCGATTCTTCAGTGTGAATGAACGATCCGGGCGGCGATCTCATATGTGCAGGACCTCGGTAGCCGGCAGAATCTGAGTTCGAGTCCAACGAGGGAATATTTCAGAACGATAGTTTCTCCGAGTGGACCGACCGATCGAATTCCAATACGTCGTCTAGTGAAAGTCGATTAGTCTAGAGATCAGCGATAGCCGCAACGATGTTCCAGAGCTGTTCATGTGGGTCAATGGATAGACATCTGTATTCGCGAGGAGCCAAGTACAGGCTCGAGATCAGAACTAAATATTTCATTCTTTCTAATTTCTTCTGTCTTCCCGATACGTGGGATCATTTGCGATCCCGACTCCGCCTAGCAGAAATCCAAGGGACTGTGGGTACTCTCACGTCGAGGCTCATCAACGAACTTGCGTAATAATCGGAAGACACCCTGTCAGGATGGCGGGACGCGTTGCTCGAGCCGACACGACGGGATAATGGCTCGCTTGAAATCATCGATTCCGACTTCCCACAGACATCGAGCATCATTTACATATGTGGTCTTGAAATATGTGCTCGTCAGTCTACTCGAATTCCTGGCTCGAATGCGCAAATGAGTGTCAGAAGAATACTACGCAGATAGAATGATCGAGTGGATACGACCTAGATAAAAGCATTGGGATTTTCTCTGACCTCGATGGTCCGCAAAACTTTTTTGATTAGCGACGTCCGAAAAGTATCGAATCCACCCTGTCGTCCACATCGGAGCGCGAATCGCACATCCGCAGTCGAGTGTGTCCGTTTGGCTGTCCTCGAGTCGGTCCTTTCACGGCGAGAACTTGACGCTAAACCTCTCTCGGACGGTACTGCGCCATAGATGCCCGAAACCGAGGGCCCAATTTGCTATTGGTTGTCAATCATGATTCATGATCGGTGGAAGAACTCTTACAATGGAGAGTTTGGCGCTGACGTGACACACTTTTCTCCGTACCTCAAAGGGATGAACGCCTAAGCTCCTTTGTCGTAGTGGAAGTTCGCGTCCGTCGAGCTATAGCTCAGGACTCATAGCACTCGAAACTCGTGATCTTGGTCTCCCGTAGAATTCCAATAAGAGCGTATTATCTATTATTGTTAGTATTCTCTGCTATTCAGGTATAGCTGGTATAATTCAGGTAAGTTGATGAAATCTTCCGAGGTCCTGTCTATCTGGTTTCATCGTTTCGTATTCCTCTCTCGTCCTCATTTCATAAAGAGCTAACTATTTGGAAAACGAAGACCCCGTTCTCATTGATATTTTCTGAATACCCGCCTTCGAACTTATGGGTGGAGTAGGAACGCAACTTAGCACCACAGGAAGTTCAGCCGCATTAGTAAATCCGATGTAGTTCTTCGGAGCAGAAGGGAACGAAGACACCGGCTGGATATGTGTTGCGCGAAAAGTTTCAGAGCCAACAGAACTCATCCCGAAGCCAACAGAACACCTGGGGACTCATTACCAGATCATAATAATCCATTGCCTTAGTTTTCTACAAGGTTTCGATGTCTATCTCCCTCTCTCCGCTCCTGATGATTTTCCCGATGCTGAGACGTCGAGGCAGACATCGGAATCCACAATCCTTGAAGCCGGGCTCAATTTCTCACGAACACGAACTCGTTGTAGTGGTTCCATCTTTGCTCTTCGGAGTCCAAGCCAGGCTTCATGGGCTCAGCGCCGTTGCCCCCGCACGAGGTTCCCGACCCGCAGGCGCAGACACACTGAAAGGAAAATTCGGTCTCAGGAATCACGGTCAATTATGGACTACGATTCGGATGAGCAGAGAGGCGAGCTTACTTGGAATCTGGCCTCCTGCAGCATGTCGAAGGCTTGCTCTAGCGAGTTGTGTTTCAGGAAAAATCTCGAAGTATAGCGGTCGTCTTGGCCCCTATCTGGATCTCTGGATTCGTTGAGGGTGTCGCCGAAAACCTCGCGGCAGATGGTGACCTGCGATTCATGTGGTTTCAATATATGACTGCGTGCTATCGCCTCTGACAGCAATGACCGAAACGGGATACTTATTTCGCCATTACAAATATTATGTGCACCTTTCCGCAGACGAGGATACGAGTTAGCTTGCGAAACTTGACGTCAGCGAGCCCATCGCGTCCGAAGGCGAACGTTCCTCTGCGTGAAAACGAAACCATCAGATTCGACTCGGCATCTTAGTCAGCGGATTCGCACGAGTGCCGCAAATGATCGCGTACAGTGGATCCTCGGGCACAGATACATCTCGCATGACTTGTGTGTGACGGGACGGATGTCTGGACTCGGTGACCGTCGGATTCGCCCCGGAAAATTGTCAGCCCTCTCAGATGCAATTTTCCTCGTGACTCGGGGTCCCCAACTGAGCTCAACCGATACGTCATTCCAGTAGTCCTCACCGACTACTCAAATCTGCGATTTCGAGTCCCCAGAAAACTGTCCAGTCCCGATTGCGACCCCTGGCAGGGGAAGAAGACTTTTCCCTCAAACAGACATTCGTATGCCCCCCGCATCCGGCCTGATGTTACAATTGTAGCAATATCGCGGATGGCGGAAAACCTCAAACGACTCCCATTCGACGCAGGAGCCGGCATCCCACGGAGGACTGCCGCCAAGTGTCCTAATATGGCCCCTAACTACTCTTTGCGGAATCGCGAAAGTTTGCTCAATATCGCACTCACCTGTAGCTCACTGTGACGTATCCTGGTTGACCGGGGAATGGGACGAGGGTGGTCGCGTTCCCCGAGAAATTCAGGGCTGCTGACATTTGCTCGAGTTGGAAGTAGTCGGCTTCTTGGCAAAGTCTCGCGCGCTCGCTGAAACCCTCCGGTAGAGTCACTTTCCCACTCCGTAGATAGTCGAGAACGTAGCGGAAAAGAGCTCCATCCCGGTCAACGAATAGACGTCCCTGTTGAATAAAACAAAGCGCTTGGGTCAAAAGCGGTAGCGAGCATTCAGCTCCAGTCATCGACGGAGCTCGCGATACGGCAGTATTGCCTCCCGATTGTTCAACTCGATTCCCGACCTCCTGTACCCTTATCCCTTAGACCTCCTGAGCGTCAATGGAATCCACAAAGATCGTCTTCAGAAACTGAAAAATCCGCGCTTTTCCGGGAAAATCGCTCATCCCCCCGTTAGAGGATTATGTTCTGATGAAATAACAGTGTCCGATATTCTTCAAACCAGCAGCACTAATGCGAGGGATCCGGATGCTCATCCCGCCATTTCCCTCGCGCCATTCTGGATCTCGAAATTGAGCTTCCCCTCCATATCATCTGGCTCGGAAGTTTCTCCGAATGCTCTAAATTCCTCATTCCCGTACGAGATCCACGCGAATCATACGAGAACTCTACAGTGGACGAATGACACTACACTCAGGAATTCGATTCACGATCTCGTGGGATGGAATCCGTCGCCGCCCGGCGCCCCATTGTCCGGGCTGGCCTGACAATTAGAGTGAACCCGACCATCGTTCCACCGCCACAGGCGTTCCGGCGGAATTAGAGGTGCCAGTCGAAGCGAGGGTGTCCTTTGATCGACGTTCGATCAGTTTTGAGTGGGGCCTATGAAATCGCATTTAGTGCCTCGCTGCGGCCCGCGCACCTTCCATCTGAGCATCATAGTCGGTAGGGCTTGACTATTTTCACTTGTGCGATCTCTCGCTGTTCCTAGCGATCGAGCCGGGCCCTCCAATAAGACTACTTTTATGTTCTTGAATGGTCGGAGCCTTTACAGGGTTCTGCTCAATAAGACGTCCGATCGCGGTGCCTCGGCGACATAAAAACCGCTTCCCTGGCTCGCACGTGTGTCGGAGGTTATCGAGACTTATTCGCGCGTGATCAGGAATGAAGATATGAGTTCTAAAATGGCGATCTGCGTCTGTTTCATCGTGTCGCGATAGGGCGAAGCAAACTGGAAGGACTATCTCCCATCCAATAGGACGGTTGCCTGATTCGAGGCATTTTCCGCAGATCCCGCCCGAGGTAAGGAGGCGCGGCAGTGCAGTCTCCGCTCGGCAGATGATATTATTCTCCCGGAAGTTCCGCAGTAGTAATGTGAGAGCATTCATGCGACACCTGCTGCGAAGAGTTGAGACAGTATTCTCTAATCCTCTCCGGATTCGGCAGTCGCTTTCGATCGACTCGCTTCACACGATGGTAGTATGCTGTGGGTATCCCCGGGTTTTTCCGAATCCGACCTTGCTCCGACTGGTATTCACGTTGGAGATATCCCGTGGATTCGATGAGTTGTATTCGACGCGAATACAAATCTGGGTAGAAGTCATAGACGACTCATAAAATTCACCTGCTCAAATGAGTCGGGTCTATTCAGGTATGTGAATGGACGACTTATCGATCACTCGTGATACGGAAGACAATCCCGGCTGGAGTTTCTCGTACCAACGAGTGCGAGTCGCAGATCTCGGCAAAGAAGCCGAGCAGGGCTTCCGGGATCCTCTTCTGAAGTTTAGTGGGCATAACTTCGCAGCGATTCTGGATTTTGCTGAGTTCCGCATCGTTCTCGTTAGCTCGAATCATGAATCGTTCCGCAGAGATCGCATCGAAAAGCGGTGGATGACCTGAACGAAGCTAAGCTTCATTAATCTCGAATCAAACGAAGCCTCAGCTCCCGGAATTCACGCTGCCGCCGCATCTGTTCGCGGTAGATCGTCGACGGACCCAAACAACCTGCCGGACTCTCTCGCCGAGTGAGCCTGTTGTGGGAAATTTGATTACCGAGTTCATTCAGGAACTCCTCTTGGGGCTGGCGTGATTTTTTCGCCATCTGCCTCCAATGTCTGGCTCTACGCGGAAGCCTCTCGGAGAGAGCCTAGTGCTCCCATACAATTTCGAGGCGAGCATGATTACAATCCCCGACGGCTCAGTCGGAGGCTATACGACGCTGGTGGTTAGCGTAGCTAGGAAGAGTTAGTGTATTCCTGAACGGGGCCGACGCTAAAGTCATTCAAGAACATAAAAGAATTATTATACTTCATTTCGATCCTCGTGGATTTCTCGAGCTCAGCAAGCAGGCCTGACATTCGCCTCTGGCGAGTTTTTCCCCCAGCTTGCTCGCAAATCACGGTACACACTGACCTGAGAATCCTTAACTTGTTCCTCGATCAATTCGCGGAGAACGCAAGATCCATTTTCGGCCTTCAGAAGCGTAGATGCCTTCGTCGTGTAGAGAGTGCCTCCGACGTTGAGCTCCACTATTTTGTCCCCCATCTGCAAGAGCGACAAATTGCATTACAGGGAAAAACATAATTATGGACAAGATTGAGTAAGTGTTCGCTCCCAACGGGTTTGAATGGCTCATTCCCGGAACGCGTATCTCTAGCCGGCTTGTTCCGCTCAGAAAGGAACTCTGTTCCTCGCTCAGTCCCCCTCGCCAACAATCCTTCCGCATTCACGTTTTACAGATGACGACGCTATCATGCTCATTCCTTCCTCTAGCATCATTCGGCACACATGTTGACCGCGTCGGCGCGCCGTTCAGCGGTCCGCGCGAGGCATTACTCAAGCCTCGTTACCCAAATGAGTTGAGTTCGCTTCTGCATATTAAGCCGAGCACCGCCCCCACGCACGTTCATACGACCGACCTCGCGCTCAAATCACCGAAGGACTAGCAATGAGAAACCCATCCATTCCGCCATCGCGGAATCCTGCACCTGTAATATGTTCTGCTAAAAGCTATGATACTTTCCGAATACAGAGAGCCTCTGAATATTCCAAAATGGTGGGCGATCGGGAACAGGCTGACGCAATCAGGAGCTTCGTCATTTTGCGGCATTCCACGATCCAGGAGCTCCTGGAGTCCTAGTCTTTTACGGACTTCAGCTTCACTCGATGAATGTGGGGGGCACTCTAATAGCCTGTACTTGATAGTTTCTTTCTCCATCCCACACAAACGAAAGTATGTGAGTGGATATTTTTTGGAAGTTCCTGCGGTATTTTCGACTCGGAAGCATCCCTGCTCTCGCTGATGCAAGTAGGGTACCACATCTTCTGATATTAAACGTGCTCACCGCGGTCAGACCTCGGTTCTCCTCAAACATATTGTATTTCTGAAGGCTTGGTCCCCGGTACATCGCTTCTCGCCATACTCGGGACGTAGACGATAAGCGAGAGCAGCCTCGAGCCCGGACCTTGGGCGGTACGGCCTTCCGAAGGGCATTCAGCGTTGACCGGATAAACCAGGATTAAAGTGAAAAATCGATGCGCATAAGGAATCGTCATGTGGCGAGAAAGCCCCTCGTTCTTCAGCCAAAATAAGTTCTGAGTGGCGCTGCATCCGATGATCTCTCTTCCCGCCCGCTCCCCGGGCAAGGCCGAGGGGAAAAAGGCTTATCGCCAACGCTGAGGGGTCTTCGCAGACCGCGGTCAGCGAAGAGGCTTCCGCTACACCGAGCCGCGTTGATTGCAGCGGCCGACGCTTGGCTAATTTTTTTAAAATGGAATCGCGCACGGAAAGTACCTCGCGTGACCTCGTCCCCTTTTTTCATGAGAGAGTTGTCGGATGTTGAGAATTAGCAGAGCAGTCAGAGCTTGCAGTCAATAGTCCCGGGATTAGGGAGGGGAAGATGACTTCTCTGACCTCGCGATCATAGGAACGGCATCAAGGGGGTGGCCGAAACCTCCAGCGACACAAGCGGCAGCCCAGTAATTCCTCAGTGATCGCGCATCGCGTGAATTCCACACACATATAAGATGATCACGATCGGAGCCGTATCAACGGTCCCTCGGAAGTCGTATCGGAACCAAGGGAGGACCGACTTCGCAGCAACGGACTTACGGGAGTTCCTTGAAGGCTATTCCTGGAGACCTGAGTCGAACCGAGCTCGATCGATCCGTCGCTCCGGAGCTCCCATGCAGTTTCGAGGAGAGCAGTTCTCCCGACAAATGACAGCGGGGGATACGCGAATCCACGGAAGATCACTGGCACATCCCCGCAGAGAGACAGGAATTCCTCGCGGTCTTCTCGAGCTGTATTTGAGCTTCCGAACGAGCCCAACGCAGCAGACAACCGCAAGTGGCCTCCGACTCTGAAGTGTCAGCTTGCAAATCGGATTCCTCTCTGAGTTGACAAGGGGAACTCCGAAGGGCCGCCGCGGAGGAGACGCGAATTCCTACTGGATGACGCTTCGGAATAGTGGATTTGAATCATCCCAAATGGGACTACAGACCCCGAACGAGTGCGGCAGGAAGCATCTCTCGACGCAAAACGTGCCTTGCGGATGCAACACCTTGAGAAGGGGGAAAGAGTGAGTCGAAACCGGTTGCCAAGCCAGAGAACGGGCTGGTTGGAATCGGAAGAAAGGGAGCAAGAGTTTACGATGATTGGGAACAAGACAAAGGTGCCGATCGCTTTCACAGCCCCGATCTCCGAATCAGACGTCTTTGACCTTTCTAACTTACTTCCAATGAACTGATTAGACTGGTACCAGAACCATGCTTCAACGAACCAGGATGAATCGGTCTCGTGGTCAGTCCTCGCGATGCGCGATGAAGATACGGATTCGCGGGCCGGCGAGTTCTCCTCGTCGAGCCGGCGAGAATATTCACCGCTGACCGACATGAGACCTTGAGCGTGACTTAGTCAGCACAAACACGTAGGAAATTGTTCAATCGGTTTCGCTTGAGAAGAAGTCGTGATAGTGACCAAATTGTTTTTATTCCAATTAAACACAGAGTTGGCAGACGATAAACAGATCGAAAAAATCGGAGCGAGCTGCTAATCGGGCGAATTAGGCTCAAGCTAGACTTAATGGCTTGGTGCGAGTGTTTTGCGAGCGCCACTCTCTCTCTCTCTGTGGCTGATGGCTATTGGCTCTTTAATCGCCTCCGCCGATTATCACCGACTCCGCTGGCCCTAAGAGAGGACATCCGAATCTCACGAGCCTGGGACTTCATACGATCCGCGATCCTCACGGAGAAAATCATTCCGTGTGCTTTATGGATGAATTAATGCTTATGCGGTGTAGAGAGCTAATGATAATCGACAGGGACATAAATGTATATATGAACGCGACGGATCACTTAGTGTAGCTCGCTTTAATGATCACATTCCTGCCCTATTCGATCCGGATCGCGATACCATGAATTCGTGGGAGCGTGATATGCATCCGCCTTCGACTCTCCAAATTTTTTGGGTCTATCTTCCGCAGACCGCGGCTCCGGAAAGGTAAATCCAAGAAAACGCTGGATTATTTCACGCAGCACGAAGCGGCGAGTCGAGTCATCGAGCGAATACAGAAAAGCGTCCAGCCAACCGGCTGAGTGGCCTACAGGCGATCGGCGCGGAGAATCTAAAGCTTGAGTTTTCAAAAGCGGATATGCATACGCCAGCGACAGTCACCACGGTGGAGGCGTGCTTAGTTGGAGGCCGGCTCGCTGGTTTTAGGATGCTCCCATTTCTTATGTTTGCACTCGCTGACTCTACCTGACGATCCGGGCAGCTCGCGGAGCAGGGGTCGCGCGTCGCGCCCAGCAGATTGGGCCGGAAATCGGGGGAGGGGGGTTACTCTCATTAGTTCGACGTCACTGTCGAGCTCTGAGAGCAGAGCCTTATCCATCGTCTAAGGTCTTGTGCTTCAAGGATACGCCTGTAGATTCTCTGAGAGTGTCCGAACAGGTTCTGCCGAAGCGGCGCAGGAGCTGGGCAGGGCATAGGGAATTGACAGTCCACGAGAATTCGGCGATCACAACAGCCCGACCACCATGGCGGTCCGGTCCTGGTAGGATTGCATGGAGGATGACAAGAGCGCGAAGTCCGAGACTGCCGTTCCCTTGACGAATAGTGGCCAGCGACGGAAGAAAAACTTCTCTCGGACTATTGACGACTGGAGTTTCCCTAAAGCGGTTCCAAGCTATCATTGAGGAGTCTAGAGGGGTAAATTCCCCGGGAGAGCCGAATCCCAAGCGTTTCGGAAAACAGTCGGGCTTCCCTCGAGTATCTCCCCCTCACAGACACCTCACCCACAGACGCTGTGGCAATTCAAAGGCAAGCGTGGTATAACTGTAAATTTCGGTACTTTATGCTCCGATCTCGAATCCGCTCGGCGTCGAATGGAAAGTCGATTCCATCTCTAGTGACCGAGGACGGAAGCGTTCCGCGGAACGGGGTTTCGCTTCCCAAGTATCAGAACGAAAAAGAACCATTCAACCTTTTCATGGGGAGTTGCGTCGCCATGCTGAACGAGGACATCAGATACCTTGATCTCCATCAAAATCACGCGCTCAGATCTCTTTCGAAGATGTAGGCCAGAGAGGCCGGAGACCTTTCGTCCGATCTCCCGAGTACTCATTCCACGAGCAATCAAGTGCGGCCCGAACATAAATCCCGAGTTCAGAGCAATCTCAAGTTTCCGTTCCATCGACACTCTTACGAAACTTTGGCCTCTAAACCTGAGCGTTCTCGAATGCGTTCGATTTTGCCCCCGATATGAGAGAACGGGAAAGCGAGCGGTCGACTTATTGGAACTCGAGGCACCCTCTCTGAAGTTCTATACGTGTAGGATTAGCGAGAATCGTGGAGCTTTAGAAACTCCATGACCCTTCTGGAATCTTCTGAAGCGGCGTCGGAGAGTATCTCGGTCCGAGATCAATGTCACATCTCACACCCTCGCGGAGCTCTATTCAGCGACCTCATTCTGTGCTCACTGGAGCGATTTCCACTCGTATTTCCCCGGTGTTGACACGCAGGATGCAGGAGACCGAATGATAACCGAGGTCGAGCTGACGCTTCGAATGAAACTCCCGCAGCCTGAGAGATCTCAGCATGAAGAGTTCGAGCGATGCTTAAGCCAGAAAAGCCCGAGCTAGTACATTGGTGCGAAGAAGACGAACAATGGACAACTACGGTCCTGATACGAGGCTCACACAGTCTTTCATTCATTGCGCCGTCTGCCTCGCCCACAGATGGGGGCCGACTCTATCGGTCTCCTGAAAGAGCCGATTGCAGATGTGACTGAACACCGAGGGGACTGACACTTTCTGTTCCGCCTGATCGCTCTCCGTAATTCGCTTCTCGAGTCCCGTCGGGCAATGGAGTCGACCGCGAGGTCATCCAACGTAATCTTTCAACATGGAGGGAGAGAGAAGGAGCGCTGAGTTCACTCGCGCGCGAAGGTACAGTCGAGTCTTCCCATTTGACACCTTCAAAATCCGTTTTTTTTTCAATTATTATAGGCGAGTCTTTTGTGAGCGGGATCGACTGCATCCCTTCG